CTGACTTAGGATCTATGGACATGGAAGAGCTTAGTTAAGTGTTGTTTGGTGCTGCCTCAATTCATCGGTTTAATAATTCTAACTATACGATTCTTCATAGGCACCTCAGGGGTTGATACATTTTGAATGAATAAGATATGAACAGAACATTCTTAAACTATCATATTTCCAGCTGTGCTAGTGTTAGTAACCAATATTTTAGGCTCTTTGTTTAGACTTCTTTGTTTGGAAGTATTTTATGCCTATATAGGCCAGTGATTCTTTGTTTTCCAAAATTTCATTTCCTTATTATCAATCTAGGGACGACTTTCCATGTCGTGTCATAGTCAATGCCTTATCTTCAATTATAAAAAAAGGATGGTGAATGCTAAATCTTTAGGCAAAGCCACCCGATTCCATGTAATACACGAAAATTCATTAACTGGTTGCAATTCGTCAGTTCAAATGGAACCAATTCCTTTCAATCATTGTCATCAAATATTGGATAATCTATTGCAGTTCAATTCTTGAGAATGGTCTCATGTTTTTCACAAACTGTGAGTCTCCTATGTATCATATATTGCTGTTCAGTTCATGTATGGGTCAAGTGAACACCTTTTATGCATCCCTTTAATATGGAATCAATTCTTTTTATTAGAGTCATTATCTATTGCATTAAGGGGCACTATAAAGTTTAGTTGCAGTAATGAGCAAGAGTTGGAACAAGGACTCTACTTCTTGGTCTATACAACACTTCCTCCACAAAGAGGTATGGTTAGAAGTATCATTTCTAATCAATGGTTCACCTTTTGCTGTTTGTGTTGTCTTCAAATAAAAACTAACCCCCTTTGAATGGTTTCTGAGAACTTAACAATTAGAACGCGTTGTTATGGATATTTAATATGAAAGTCTAGCAACCATTCGAGAGTTAGAGTAGGTTTCCATTAAGGAACCAGTAAGAGAATAAATTTAGGACACATGCATGTATACATGCTAATATGCTCTATGTAACTTGGCGGTGAAAGTTCTTCATATGAATTATAATAGCGTTGTGTTTGCATGATGGTCCAAATTATTAGACCTTCTATCAAACTGAGAGCCAGGAACCCAGGAATAGGATTAGTGGTAATAATTGATTATACACCTTATAACTAGACAGATGTATGACTGTCAATTTCATAGGACCAAGTCTGCACCAACTAATTACTCTTAGGTTCATTCTTTCCTTTATGCATTGTAAGTGGAGAACTTTGATCAAATAGTTTTTAGATTCTGTAGTTGAACTGTTTTCATTTTCTGATTTCTATATCTGCAGTGAGATAATTGATGAGCTGCTGAAAAGGGTAGAATCATGCTCTAAATTGTGTTTTAATTGGTTTGAACAACTTAGTTGTAGATGTAATTGTTTGTTGTTTTGGTCAACTATAGCTTTGGAAAAGTTAATACAGGTGGAACTAATTAACAACATTACTTCAACAACGTTGGCTAGAAAGGTTTAAAAAGGTGATATAACTTGATTCACTTATATGTTTTGATTAGGCAGCAAAATAGACCATTTCATTTATTGGAGTTATTCACCTCATTACTAGGTAGCAAAGTATCAGACTACTTGATAATTGATCCTTCATCGGTTACCAAAGTCTCAAGATAGCTAAGGTTAAGTTATATCTATACTTGATTATTGACCCCATGTATGTATTTGCAACAGATTGGCAGGCCCCCCTGTTTCGTGATGAGTTTATGTCGGAGCATGGAGTAGAGTTGGTAACTTGCACGGACAGTGCAATCAGGGACCGAGCAACCTCTGTTGAATTCAGCCAACCAGACCTTTGCCTCCGAACCCTTCAATTCTGTCTTCTCTTTGGCTCTTTTCCCCCATGACGATTGTCGTCGGGGTGGCTTGCTGCAGCTTCTGCACAAAGACTCCCAATTTCAACTCTTTGCATCTTACAAATGAAGAACAATGGATGGTACGAGTCGCAGAAAAGGAAGTCGATCGCCTGATTATGTAGCCGGTGAGCAAGGATGAATACTGGATTTGGTGGATGAAGCCTCCAAATTCTAGGTGATAAACAAAAATACCTCAAGCCCTAAACAAAAATACCTCAAGCCTCCAAGTTCAACGTGTCTGTATTGTGTAATTGGGATGGAATTCCATTTGTTTATTTGATGGTTGGACTATGATTTCGATGATCTGTGGCATTTTCCACTTGAAATTTGGTCTTGCTTTGCATGAGTATCTTCTGTTTATTAGATGATTGGTTGCTGCTTCACTTTGAAACATGATGAAAACTTAAACTATGGTGCCTGCTTTATATGCTATAACTTGGACTAAAAGAACCAGATTTGATAGTTCATATCTAAATACCGCCGCAGAGCGCGGGTCATTTTTCTAGTACAAATTAATATTACAAAGCATACAAACTACATTAGAAATATATACAAATCATAATGATATTATGTACAAAGATGCTAACAATACAAATGTATATAACGTGCATTACAAATCATAATGACATTATGTACAAAGATAATAACAATACAAATGTATAACACTTGCATTACAAATCACACCGTTATTCCGCCGGATGACAAAATATCATAGAATCTCCTGCCTCCTCCGCCGCTGAATCTCTCTCCACCGCAATTGCTGCCTCTCTCTATCTCTCCATCACCACCACCATCTCTCTCTCTCATCCATCGTTGCCGTCGCAGCCGTTCTTCGACAAATCCGCCTCTGCCGGTGTTTCTCTCTCCTCCACCACCGTCGTGGACATCGCCTCTCTATCCTCCACCTTCGTTGTCGGCTCACCCGCGCCATTTCTCTCTCCATCGACGTTGTCGCCTCTCTCTTTCTATCTCTCCTCCACCGGCGCTGCGATCTCTCTCCTCCACCGGTGCTGGGATCTTTCTCCTCCGCCATGTCTTTCTCTCTCTCTCTGGACATCACAAGAAAGGGAAAAGGAGGAGACGGTTGGAGAGGAAAAAAAAAGAAATAAATAAAACAAAATCAAAATTAGGAATTAATGAATTTATGATAATGCCAAAACTACCCTTCTCATTTAAGAATAATTCATCACTTTATCTGAACCATTAGATCAATCCAGAGGCTGAGGGGACTTAGTCAAGTGACTAAGGATCTCCCTTTAGTCACCAGATCCAGATCCACTTTAGGTTTATAGTTGAGGGATGACACATGGCAAGAAGAAAGAGCATTACATCAGTTATGAGTGTTTTTTTTTAATTTTTTATTGGTTTCTTTTTCTTCTCCTTTTACCTTTTTTTATTAGTCTCCTCCTCATTAATCTCTCACCTCTTCCTTTTATATTATTGTTTCTTGTGCTAATATTGATTAACTTTTGTATTTGTTTTTGTATTCTTAATCTCTCGAAATCGATGAAATCACTCGAGACCGACTTTCGTGTTGGGTTATGATTTTTTTTTTCAATTTTTTATTGGTGTCCTTTTCTTCTCCTTATTCCATTATTGATTATTCTCCCCCTCATTAATCTCTCCACCTATTCCTTTTATATTATTGTTTCTTGTGCTAAAACCGATTAACTTTCGTATTTGTTTATGTATTTTTAATCTCTCGAAATTGATGGAATCGCTTGAGACAGACTTTCGTGCTGGGTTATACATTTTACTCATCTTTCTCACTCGATGTTGAATAGATCGTTAACGATAAAATCACTCTCTCTCAATAGAAAGTCGAAAGTTGAAAGAGGCATCAGAAACAATGAAATAGCTCGAGGCCGACTTTCGTATTTTGGTTAGAGACCGACTTTCGTTCTTGGTTATGCATTTTACTAATCTCTCTCACTCGATGTTGAATAGAAAGTTAACAATGAAATCACTCACTCTCAATCAGAAGTCGAAAGAGGCATCAGAACCAATGAAATAGCTTGAGACCGACTTTTGTATTTAGTTATGCATTTTTACTCATCTCTTTCGCTTGAGATTGAATAGAAGGTTAACAATGAAATATCACACAATCAAAAGTACGAAGGGGCATTGGAATCAATGAAATCGCTCGAGACCGAATTTCATATTTGGTTATGCATTTGTACTCATTTCTCTGACTCGAGGTCTAATAGAAAGTTAACATTGAAATCTCTCACTTCCAATCAAAAAGTACAAAAGTGACATCGGAACCAATGAAACGAGATACTAGGTTCTTCCTTCTTTTCGTTGTTTTCATTTGCAGTTGTTGATTTTTTTTCATATTGCCTATTTCTCTTCTATTTACTATTTTAGTTGAAAATCTAGGGTTCATTCTAACTTTATCTTTTTGTTTGTTGGATAATAAGTTTTTTTTTGTTGGGCTTAACAAGAAAACCACAATAATAGGTCTCAACAATTCAAATCAAATTCCACAACTAAAATAAAGGATTTTCAAGTATACTTTTATGTTTGTTGTTCCACAATCGGTACCTATTCATTGGCCAGCGAGTTTAATTTTTTATTGTTTGCTTCAATGTATTGTGAAATGCGTTTTCTCAATTCTTATTCAGCTACTTAGATCTTCCTATTCGTCGAATCTTTACCATGATTGATTTTATTACCTGCTACTTTTTTCATCAAATGAGAGTTAGACCTCCAGTTTCTTGAGTTAGTGTTCCTGACATGTTAGTTTATTCCCTCTTACAATCACATGTAACCTTTCATATTGCTCGCTTGACGCTAAGAGCAACAAGCAGGCTTCTCTAGTTTAGATAAAACTCAAGCATTATGCTGGATGAAAACACGGAAAGACCTTTTCAGCCTTAGATAATTACTAAGGCAATTCACAAATTGCACCCAATTGATGAACTCATACAATTGACATATATTTTTTTAGGTGAATACTTTTAGGGGTTGCAAGATAATTGTATTAGTTGCATAAATTTATGTTAAGGATGAACTATGCGTTTATTGGGTTCAGGCTAGTGATCGTAAGACATACGTTTGTGAAGTTTTATTATTTAGACCATAAATTAACCGGAGTATGGAGTATGATACTATACCAATTTTCTAATCCAAACCATAAGAGTCTTACGCCTTTAACTATCATGAAGTTATGCTTCAAACAGCCGCCTATCCTCCCATATATGATCCTAGTTCATCAAGGCTGCAATTTTTCTGCTCCAGTCATTACAACAGTCACGTATAAAGTACAATAACTGAATGATGGCGAGACTGAGAGTACACTACTTTTTTTTTTTTGACAACGAGAGTACACTACAATAACTGCAATTTTTCTGCTCCAAGCATTATCCGAATCATCGTCGTCATCAACAAAAACCAGACCGGTTTCAAAACGGCCCATAAGTTTGTCTGGCCCAGGGCGGCCCAAATTACGCTAGGTGTATAAAAATAGCATCCTCTCCTTTCTCTCCAAACTTGGCTTATTGCAGTTCACTGTTCACCAATGGCGACCCTTCTTCTCTTTTCCAGCTTTTGATCTCTGTCTTTGTTTGTTCTCATCATAGCCAACAGCAGCTACGGTCAGCGGTGGCTGAGCGAACCGGAGGACGACGAGAGACACTCAACTTTGCGAGGGTAGTGAAGGTACGAATCCAACACTCAGACTTTGTTGGCGCACGATAGAATTATGGACTTCATTTCTTCTTTGTCAAGCAACGATTGAACGATCACCTGACAAATAAGCAGTGGATCGAGATCAATACTAAAACATTTAATAACGAGTTTGTATGGTAAGGAAATAGTGGAGGTTTTGGATTGAACACTACCTCCTGGACTTTGTTTCCTGCTCGTGCTAGTAACTTATACTGATCCTCAAACATGGATGCCATATAAACCTCCACACCACAAGAAAGATGGATTCAGTTCTTCCATTAATATTCAGGTATTTATATTTTTCAGTATCGAGGCCAGTAGTCACATACCTGAAACGTTGGAGCTAAACCTGGACTCAAGAAATAGCGTCCTTTTGTTACTGACTGGATACCTTCAATTTGTTCTAGTTCATTGATCAGAGACTCTACTTCCTCCCACTGTTACAATTCCAAATCAAAGTGAGAAACAAAATGGGACATGGGGACTAAACGTTTGCAATCAAGGGACAGGAAGAGACCTCAGTATCTTCTTCAGCTGGTTGCAGACTTCCACTTAAGGGATCACGATCGCCAATAACAGACTCCCAGGCCTCGGTCAAGGGATCCGGCTGTCAGAGTGAGCAATGCAGTTGGCTTATACATATGTAGTAGCAGCCGGGATAGAAAAGTGTAGGCAGTTAAATCTCAAACATGTTAAGCACAAAACTCACAGTAATTTCCTTCAGGGACAAGAAAATACGTTCAAGAGTGAAATCCAACTGATGTACTTTTGCTTCAACGATCTGGGATGAGAAAAGATATATGGCAGAAATTACGGTTGGTAGGTGTAAAAAAGCTACATCATTCATACATATACAAGGAACTCAATTAGTGGTTCTGATGTAAAAAGAGAAGGCACTGGCACACTGGAAGTACCTGACCCAGTTTAAAATATGATGCAGGATCCAAAGTGGCATCCCATGATACTTCAGTCTGATGAATTAGTGCAGGAACACCTTCAACCTAAACCCAAAAGTTCCGGTTAACTTTAGGCTGAAAGCATATTTGCCACAATTAACTGCTTATAGTTGGTCATCTTTACAAATTAAGCCATCTCCTAATCATTGGAGCCTATGACTTGAAAGCTCATGTTACATGACTACTTGCTGTGCAAAGCAGAGCAACCAACGAATTATACTTTACCTTAACAAAAACATCGAACTAGGTGATATCAACTTGCTTTCAAAAGATGACGAACCAAACATTTATACTTTACCTCAACAAAAACACCGAAATAGGTGATCTTTTTTATGCATCCCTTCACGACATCTCCAACTTGAAGTTTAGCCTACAACACAAGGTAACTGAAGGCGCTTAAAGACCACAAGATAATTGCAATGAACAACAAATATTTTGCATGAGAACAATCTTCCAATGTCTACTAAGCAAATCAATGTATCATTTTAGGAGTACCATCACAAAACATAAAAACTGCATGCGAGCATACAGGAATAATCGTTGAAAATAAAACACAACTTGCTCCTCACCATCAAGGTTCTCTTCTTCTCGGCCAATTCTTCCTTCTCCTTGGGTCTCAAAGAAAATAACAATTTTCCAGACTTTTTATTCGCCATTACCACATTTGCTTTTATTTTCTGTATATAAAGGACTTGTCAAGAACACAATAATAGAAGTTAGTCACGACTTCCGACTTATACATGAAGCGGAATTCTTCAAACCTGGCCAACAAACGAGGAAAGGAATTTGAGTTTCTCCTGGTCATAAATCCTTAAAAGATCTTCCAACTTCATATCTGGAGTAATTTCACCCTCAGTTGCTGGATTTAACCTTGGGTCAACAGAACGGTTCTGATCTAAGGCATCATAATTTTCTATGATTCCTAAATTCTGTTTGTAGGCGGACGGATCAAGGCCCTTCTGTCTCAACCAAGACTCAAAAGCTATGAATTTCCATCTTGCAGCAAGATTGCGATATGGCAAAAATCCCACCAATGAGCCAAAAGAGACCTGCAAAATGGATGATGGAAATCACAACTGTCAAGATACTTCCAAACCAGAAAGTAACTCCTGTAATAGAGGAAATTGATGCTCATTCATTCAATGTTCCCCAATATACTTACAATGAATCCTCGTGCACTAGAGCTTATCAACTCCACTTCAGCCCTATCCCCTGCCTTAAACAGCTCTTCAGCCCTGGTCCAATCAGCAGCCTATACATTGATGAATTGCCAGGAATCAGGAAACTTCAACTTGTATAAAGAATCAGAAATTCTCAAGGAAACATGTAATCTGACCTCCACAGGAGAAGTAGCTGGGAGATCCCGGATCTCATTGCTACTGGTTCCAGGATCCAAAGAAACTGTCTGTTCCATGCTAGATGTTGATCTTGCTTTCACAGATTGGTCTAATCTATATGATAAAGTACCACACTTGATGAAACTAATCCACAACTAAAGGCAGGATCCAACCAATTTCTGAAAGCAAGGAACATATTAGTTCCCTGAATGACTCCACGTACCTATTTGGTTTTCCCTGCAGTGATGCTTCGATCAATAAGTTGGATTCCGAATCACTTTTACTTGCATCCAGTTGTTGATTAAGAGCATCATCATGTACCTCACTAGATTGAATAATGCTCTCTTGCTGAAACCCTTGAAAAAACAACAACACTTTCATTTCTGCATCTAGTAGTAGAAGGGTCTTATATGATTATGAAGGTAAGTGCAAGGGCTCATCAATCCTATGTTTCAACATAGGAATGAAGAGACAACAATATTAGTTATTGATTAGAGAAGAGAACAGAAGGGAAGGGAAGGACGATAAACTGGCTTCCCATTCGGAGCAACGACCAGGTATCACCAAAATATGAAAAGAATTCCAATTTCCATCTAGATAGGTATCTTTATAAAGCAAACCAGTAAATTACCTAAATCAGGTTTCTCTTCCACCACATCTTCCTTTCCAAGTGATTCTGAAGATTCCTGAACCTCATTTCGCACACTCACACTCACAGGCTTCTGCATCAAAGTGAAACCGGTGTAGTCATCATCCTCATCCATTTCATTCCTCATCGCCAACCGATCACCTCCATTAACTTCACCATCCACATTGGCAGGATACTCTTGCTTCTTCTCAACACTCACTGCCTCAGGCTTTCTCAAAAGTGTCATATCACTAAACCCCTCTCTTTTCTGCTCATTCCTCATTTTCAACATCAAATTAGGTTGAATCATCCTCACTCCAGACTTAAAATCCCTATCTTCCCCACCATGCTCCACACCGAAAACACTTGGCTTTCTCAATATAACATCCGGAACACTACGCTGTTTGACACTGCTACTAGCAGCAGCATCGTTCACAACCGGACGAATCGGTTTCTTCATCTGCGGCAACCTTGCAGGTTTACTAACCTCCTCTTGGAACCTCATTCCTTGTTTTAGCACAGGCCTGGCCAAACTCAAACCATCCGACGACGAAGAACTAGCCGATTTCTGCTTCCTTTCACTAGAAATATCAAAAGGAAGCTCCTCTATCTCCACTAATTTCCCTTTGTTTCTATGAAACTCCTTCTCAACTTCCAGAAACGAAGCATCCGGATTCACCTTTCTAGCCATTATCTAGTTCAGTCAAACAGCCACAAATGAAATTCCGGAATCAGAAGAAGAAGAATGAAGAAAAAAAAAAAAAAACTCGAGAGTTGATAGAGAGAGACCGAGGATAACAAAACAGACGGAACCTTAGCTATGGTGAGTTTCGGGTCTTCACCGAGATAGCGACCGAATTGGAGCTCCATTTGGTCCCACTCGTCCAGCTGCGGCTCATTTCCACCTTCTCTGGACGCCGAAAGAACAAGCCTACTCTTCCTCGAGGAAACCAGCTCTCTTCTTCTCCCGGAAGGCCTTCTCACTCTGGCTCTCGAACAAGGTAAGGAGAACCGCACGCCCGAAAAGGACGAGCAAGCGGCGGAAGAAGATGTAGTCGTGGCTGCGGCGGCCGTTGTTACGGCGGATTTGGCGAGCGCTAGAGTATCCATTGAAAAGAATTGAGCAGCGGTAATCTCATCGGCCGGAGAGCGGCCGCAATCGAGAATTCGAGGAAGGGATACAGAGGTTTAAGAAAAGGGAAGAAGAAGAAGAAGAAGATAACGGAGGCAGGGGGAATCCTTTATTTGTCCGGTACTGCATACGTGGCACTCCTAACATCGAGTCATTTGTTCAGCCAATAGTAAGCTAGCCACGTGGAGAGTGGAATCGCCATTAAGCTCTCAAATCTTCAAAATTAACAAGCTCTTATCTGATTAATTTGCATCTGAGTCAGATTCCAGGCACCAATTTTCGTATTAGCGAAGATGAAGATCAATATTACATGATCATAGAAAAGAATCAACAACAAAAAAAAAAATTGTGTTAAAAAAAAAAATGAAAAGTAGAAAACGAACACCCAAGTTACAAATCAAGCAATTTGTCATCTCTGTAATCAATTTTCAATGTTAAATGCAGAGAGAGTCTACTACTGCTCCTGAGCAACAGGCTCCTCTTTGGCTTCTTCTTCTTCCGCCGGTGGTGCCCTTGGCGTGGCCGACTTCTCATCGTCGTCGTCGTCCTGGTTGTGCTCTTCCTCGCCTTCAGATTTGAATCCCTCGACGGCTTGGGCGGCGCTCTTCTTGTTGATGTAGCTGTAAGAGCCCTTCTCCCTGAAGAGCTGGGCGAAATGGTGCTTGCAGTAGAGCACGCCGTTGAGGGCGGCGTAGGAAGAGTGAGTCAGCACGCAGCCGCCGTGGGCGCATCGGAAGCACGTCTTGTGGTAGAACTCTCCTTCCATTGATATCTGCCCCTCAAAATGAACGATTCACAGATGTTATAAGAAAGTAGAGTTTTGGCGACATTTTTCATTCTTTAAACAAAGGTTTGAAGCTAACCTTCTCCAACGGATAGACAGTTTTGTGGCAGGTGGCACATTTGTCTTGGGTGCCACTGAACAAGGAAGCAACCTTGTTCGGAGTTGTTCCCTACAACATAACAAAAGTAACCAACCAAATCATGATTCGAAGGACCAATCTGGTTTCAAGAGGACAAAACTCCATAATTAATGACCAAATCAAACGAGTTTTGAACTTGTGGGTTACCTGGGCGTTCTTCTTTTCTCCAGCTGAATATGATGATGCATCAAGTTCATGAAGAAATTAAAACACCTATTAGCAAAAAGGGAAAACAGAAACAAGGAACAAGGAGGAAGTACTAATGGAGTACTTATTACATGTTTGGAAATTTTTGCTGAAACTTCCTGTTTCCTTGAACAATTGCTCAAAATGAGTCTTGCAGTACAAAACTCCATCCATGGATGAGTAGTTTCCCATCTAATCACAAAAGAAAGAAAACCCCAATACGATCAATTTTGTTTAGTGCTTTCAAATCGATCTCTAACCACGAAACAGAACCATGCTTAGGGGCATGCTAGTCAATGCGTGTGTATACCTTCGATCACACGCGTTTAATCATATAATCCGATAATATAGAATAGTATTCAAATTTCAACCTAACTTTGAGACGAGCCTAAGAAAAGAAGAATTAGAGGCAACGAATTTCCATACCACAAGTTTGCCATTGCAATGGCTGCATCTGAAGCAGTTCTTGTGATAAAAGGCCCCATCGGCAGTTACCATGTCAATGAAGTGAACGGTCTTGTCGCATGCCTTGCATTTGTCGGTTGTCCCGCTGAAAACCATTTTGATGTTCTTGGGAAAAAAACTATGTTTTTTTTTTTGTCTAAAAGAAGAATGCAAACAGAATTTTCTTTAACAACAAATAGAGGGACTTCCGATTTCTATCTCAAGGAGATGAGATAGAAGAGAGAACTCCCAACAATATTTGTTGTCCTTTTGATTTTTCTTTATTTATTTCTTTTTCTTTTACACAAATTATTTGAGAAGGATACCAATATTTATTTTTAAAGGAGGGATGAAGGCAAAGGAGAAGTTTGTGGAGTATTTATGGGGACTTTGTGGAAGGAATTTTTGGGATATATTTTAGTTTCTGAAAATAGGGTTTTTTCTTTTGGTTGCAATTGACCAATTCTTTGTTTCAGGGTGCATGATATGGAGGGGTACCTCTATTGTAATTTGTGGTTAATTTTTAGAATATGTTATTCCTATATTTAGATTGGTTCCAATTGTACATTTGTCATTGCTCCATGTAGCTGAGTTCAAATTTATAAGTTAATTTAGAGGTCCAAACTAATGCAACAAGTTAGCGGATACAACTTTTTAATAGGCTACAAGGCTAGATGGGCATGATTGACATCTTGAAATGTTTTATACTAGACCTAAAATAAATGAATTAAAATGTACCCTAATTATGCAAAAAATGTATTTATTGAAAAAAAATTCATATGGTTGACGTTTGTGTGACTTTTGATTCTTGTAATCATGTGTACCTTTCTCATCGTTCTGTATTTGTTATTTTCTGGATAAAATATTTCGAGTATAAATGGGCAGAATTTATACATTGAAGGCAAAATAAGGTTTTGAATCTCAATTGATGTGCTCATCCAAAACTCATCAGTACAACAAAGAACAGGAAAATTATTTTTAACCACATCACCCTTGCCATATAAAGTGGGAATTGCTCAATCAATTAACTCAGTTTAGTACTCAACTAGTGTGGGCCCGGCCAGTTAGCCGGAGGAAGGTGAGGTATGAAATTTGATAATGTAATGGGATGTATGGCTTATTTTTGTATAGTTTTTTTTTGGGAAACACGTGATAAAAATCGTGAATTTTAGTAGAAAAGATACATGAATGATGCAACGAATCAAAAATCGGCCTTATGAACCAAAATCAAATACCTATTACCTTGTGAAACAATATTGTTTCTGGTAATATGATGAGGTGGAGTAAGTTTTATAGAAATCGAATTCCAGAAAATCGAATAAAAAATCGCCTATCCCGTCGATTTTCAGAAAATGAGCATCTCACAATCGTTGCTAGCTTTTACTCGGCCCGTTGGCCGATTAATTTGCTTTATAAAACTTTCATCTTGTCGTCATTGTGCTTTCTGGTTTTTTTCAGGCCATGATAAAATCTAAGGAAATCAAGAACGAACAACATGATTTGGGATAGGAACCGTCGTTATCGTATCCCTAGAAAATGGTGGTAAACACGGACTCACCTGCCAAACTGGTTTGGATTGAAATTTGTATCGGGTATCAGGGAACCATGTGATTATAAATTAGACTTGATCAAAACGGGCCAAAACTTGAAATTCAGCCTGTTTGACCGACCCATGCCAAATTCTAATTATTCTTTACTTTTAAACTTTCAATTTGAAAATAAAAATAGTGAAAGAAAAGAGATGACTGCAATTCGCCATTTGCAAATTACTTATTCGGGAATAAAACCATAGAAATTCAAAAAGAACTGAAAATGTTTAGGATCGTTTTAATATTTAAAATAACCAAATAGATCTTTCTGTTTAGTTTTTTACTAACAAATATCAAACGATTCCCTATAAAATACACTATACTTTGATCATTATGATATCAATTAATTATATAATATATATTTGAAATGATAAAAATTGGATTAATTGGGTTGGTCGAGGTTGAACCATTGAATAACTTTAAAATACATTATACTTTAGCCACTAAGATATAAAATAATAGCATAATATATATTATGCCAGAGAAAATAGCTTGTTTTAGAATGTCAAACCAATGATGTTCATTTGTTTTACTTGATGGCCAAATCCCGTGTAGGTCAGGCCCATTCAACTCTTTTATTTTATGGTTAGCGGTTAGCCCATTAGATACCATGCATTAGTTTATTGTTAAATTTTTTATTTTTAGCAATAAAAAGAAGTATTATTTTTTCCTTTTCATATATATTTTATCACCACGGAGAAATAAAAAGGCTTAAAGAAAAAAAAATGAGACTCCTGGACCCGTTCAAATCCGCATGTGTACGGTAAGTTGGCCCGTGCCACAGAGGAAAGAGAAAAAAATTGACACTCCCTATTCTACCCTTCCTACAAACGCTCCTGGAGCAGGGAATTTGAAATGGGGGAATGGTTTTTTCCTCCATGCTATTTTATGTTTTTAATTTAAAAAGATACAGCAAATGTACTTAGTGTGATTGGTTATGATCCTTGCTTTTCTTTTAAATGGTCATGGTTCGAATCCCAGTACGTGTCTTTTACATTAACTCTCGTTGCAGGAAATTTAAAATGAGGCTTCCATTTTTCCCTTCGACGTATTATATTATGTGTAGATCATCACCCTCGTCTCTCTCAGCTAATAAATGAACTTACAAATTTTTTGAAAAATTTATATTCAAATTAGGCGGACAAGTGAACACGCACAAAATCAATTTATCCCTAAAATTGATTTTTTTTGCTTATTAGTAAAATATTTAAAATTTTAAAATATTAGTCAAAATTTTCAAAACCTAATGTTAGCCAATCATTAAAACTGCATTAACAATTATTAGTCAATTGGATAATAATTTGACAACACAATACTAAGTTTGAAGAGATACATGACACACAAATTTAATATCAAATTATTAATGAAATCTAACATTGACATACCGTTTGGTATAAATGAATTCCATAAATTTTTAGGAATTAATTTGGAAATGAAATTTTTTTGTGTTTGGTATTTAAAATAATTCATTTTCAATTCTAAATTTTGAATTCTATAGAATTAGAACTAGTTATAGCAATTTCGAAGAATTGAGATGGAATTTCCAAATGAATTCCACAAGTATTTACTAATTATAATATAATGAAATAATTATATTTTTTTATTAACTAAATTACTTATATATATGACGTACCAAACACAAGAATTCATTTGACAATGAATTCTACACTACAATTCATTTTATTTCTAAAGATTTGAATATGAAATACCAAACACAAGATTTCATTTGACAATGAATTCTACACGGTATTTCATTTTACAATGAAATGAATTCTCGATTCATTTGGTACCAAACGGTCTGTGAGTGTCATTAACGGAATTATTGAGAGCAACAAAGAAATGACTAAAAAAATTTGCGTCACATACAGATTTAGCTAATCTTTTACAATTTGAAGGATTTTGCTAATATTTTTAAAACATTGAAACGTTTGTCTAATAAACTGAAAATATTTAAGCAGAAGAAAAAATATTAGTTAAGAACCTTTCTACGTCGAGGAAATATTATTTTCGACGATCAATTATTTCATTTGACTGTTATTGTGTTCTCCTGCTGAAAACAGCTGCTATTGCGGTACTGTCACAACAACGATGAAAAAGTTAATATGCTAACACGACTTTTTGTTAGCAAATACTAACATGGCCCGGATTGTGGCCACGTGGGCCCATCTTTGATCTAAGGGTGAGGGGGTCAGATCAGTCGTGGCTCACTTAAGTGAGCTATTTTTTGGGTTTTTTCGTACAAGTCGGCAGAGCTGAAGAAGGTGGTTCGGGTTCACTGTTGATTTGGGCGGGATTTGGGAGAGGAAGTGAAGGATGAAGGAGGATATTTCATTTGGTTACAACGGATATTTATTACTACATGGTTGGATATTAGTCTATGATATTTATCTATATTTATATTTGTTTCACTCGATATTAGTTTGTGTTGTGTAGATATTAGTTTGTATCAATTTTTAATGTAATAGCAGTATCCATTCTTCACAAAACCAATATACATCCTTAACCAACCCATTATATATCATTAAACTAATTGTTTGTACCATCTAGCTCCGGATACGAACAATAATGATTTGTTGGTGTGGTTGACTCACTATCCGTTCTTCTGATCTCATCGGGAGAGATAAAGCATGTGAACGCCTAGGGATGCCCTCCGGATTAAGCTCCGAGGATCAAGTCAGTTTACGTTTAAAGTGATAACCAAAGTGGAAAGTGAAGGTCCTTATGTCCCCTTTCTTAGAAGGCTGGAGAGCTCTTATATAGGCATTGCGACACCAGTTGCGCGGCAGGTTGGGTGTCACCGGTAGAGCGGCAGGTTGGGCGTCACCGGTTGCACGGTAGGTTGAGCAGAAAGTTAGACATCAATGGTAGCGCGGCAGGTTGCGTGGAGGTTGGGCGTCATTACGCTAGTGCGGCAAGATGCTGGTGCGCTACTACTTAGTCTCAGTTTGGCGTTACTAGTAATGTCCCTTTCTTGGAAGGCTTGGGAGCCATTATATAGGCGTGGCGGCACCGTTTGGGTGGCAGTGTCTCACCAGTAGCGCGGCAGGTTGGGCGTCACCGGTTGCGCGGTAGGTTGAGCGGTTAGTTGGACGTCACCGGTAGCGCGAGAGGTTAGGCGTCACTACGCTAGTGCGACAGGATGCTGGTGCGCTACTACTTAGTCTTAGTTTGGCGTTACTATTAATGTCTTTAGTTGGTGCAATAGTACTTAGTCTCAGTTTGGCTTAGTAACACCCCCAACACTAATGTTTACCAAACCCCAAAATAACTGAATTACCCGAAATTGATTACACAAATTTAGAGTTTAGGGTTGGGGGTTTAGGGTTTGGAGAATTAGAGTTTAGGGCGTAGGGTTTGGGGTCTAGGTTTTTCTTTTTAGGGTTTAGGTTTTTAGGATTATGGTTGGGGTTTAGGGTTCAAGTTTGGTGTTTAGGGGTCGAAAAACGAGTGTCTATGTGTACGTGTATGACAAGGGATATTTATATACGTTTGTTTGTGTGGATATTTATGTGTTTCACTCGATATTAGTCTGTGTTGTGTTGATATTAGCGTTTATGGCTATGAACACAATGTAGGGTGATATGATATTCTTCTGAGGTGATATGATATTATTATGTATGGGAGGATATTAGTCTGTGATGTGTAGATATTTGTGTGTGTAGACAGATATTAGTCTACTACAATGTTATATGAGTCTGTGTTCGGTGGATATTAGTTTGTTATGGTGGGATATTACTTTTAGTATGAATGGCCAGATATTAGTTTGGATGGTTTGGATATTTTTTTTGTGTGGATCTTTACCTACTGAATTTGTATAATTGGAAACTTATTACACCAATTTAGGATTTAGGGTTCGAGTTTTGGTTTAGGGTTTAAGGTTTAGAAGACAATACTGTGGAAATTATCATGAACACAATGTAGAGTGGTTCGATATTTGTATGTGATGATATAATATTATTATTATTATGTATGGGAGAATATTAGTTTGTGATGTGTGGATATTTGTGTGTGTAGATAGATATTAGTCTGCTTCTGTCTGATATCAGTCTGTGTTCAGTGGATATTAGTCTTAGTGGTAGATATATTACTTTTGGCATGAGTGGATATTAGTTTCTTGTGGTAGGATATTTATCTGAGCAGTGTGGGTGCTAGTATGTGTGTGGTGGATATTAGGTTGTCTAGAGTGAATATTTGTTTTAGTATAAATGTATCTTAGTCTGCAAAGGTCGAATATTAGTCTGGGTGCTTTGAATATTTGTTTTGTGTGGATGTTTATCTACTAAATTTGTATCATAGTTGAAATGAACTATTATTCCATCGTTCACCAACTCAATATCCATCATTTAACTAATGTTTACAAACCACAAAATAAGTCATCCACCCGAACTGATTACACCAATTTATGTCCAGTAGTTATACACCACACTAAATAATTACACCAATTTGTGGGTTTTCTGCATGACGAGGAGTAATATCCTACTGAAAAAAATATCAATACATAAAATAACTAATATATGGACAACCAATTACCGACTAGAATCCACATCATCATAAAGTAGTATCCCAGGTCTCCAAACTATAATCCAGGCATGCAAAATATGTCACACCCTCTCCTGTCGATTGGTTGATGGGTATCAGGTTGTGGTTGAGGATTTAAAAATACAGCTTATACGTGTAATTGTTGTAGTGTCAAATTAGAAACATGCTAACTTGTGATGAGAGATCGTGTGAATTGGTGTGTACAACATGTGTCAAATGAAAAAGAGGTAACATGTACATTATAAGGTGTTGTTTTGGGTTAACTTGATGATACCCCATTTTCCACCTGATTCCCCAAACCCACTTTCTCACCCACAGTCCCACACACTCATTTCTCTTGGGAAGTGGAGGCTTGAATTAAAAGCCACTTTACTTTAAATTGACTAAGAAGAAACCTGCTGGCTTCTGGAGAAGAGTGGGTGGCATGGAAATTTATTAGCTTGTCCCATTTGATGTTCCCATCCATTCCTGTAACCACAAACATCATCTACCTCTCAACTAGAAACCCCTTTCCCAACACGTGGACTCTAGGTGGCGGAGGCTAGATAAGCCATGGAAGTTCTTTATTGGGACAAGGGGATTTTGATCACATTATCACCTCTCTCTGGAGGCTAAAATAGGTAAGAGGAGAGAAACTAGTTTCTTCTTGAGAGAGAGCCACCATTACCCAGTCCCTCTCGTCAATATCACCACCATCGTCTCATTTAGAGCTTAGCTAGGCGACGGGCAGAACAAGGGGTTGGTGGTCATATAAGGTATGGTGATCCCTCTTCTTAGATTTGGGGCATTTTATGTTCTGGTCATGGGATTCATCCTGAAAAGTGTGGGCGAGCAAAGCTTATTTGAGAAGATGGTAAGGAATGAGTTGCATGGGTAAAGCTAGAAATTTAAATGAATCTCCATTAGTGGGTGATCATTAAGTTCAGTGGCGGATCTAGGGGTGGCCACCCCTTGCCCCGGCCTAGCCCTCCTTTGGATCCATAGTTAGTATAGGCCTTATGAATTTTTCGATTTTAGATATTCGGGTCGTTGTTATTTTAAAATAAGATTGGGTATAATTAGAAAAATAATTCAGATGAACATATTCAAAATCGCTACTCTAAATTTAGCTTATAAATTCTAACCCCAAAGGTTATTCGTCTAAAAAAACAATGAAACCTAAAAATTCAAAAAGTTTAAAACGTAAAAGACTAAAACATATATGAGGTTTGTTACCTTGGAAAATTTACTATAGCAGCTGGTGGATATAGGGATGGAAACACAATGCAAATTGATTAGTAGATTGATTTGTCTAGTGTTGATGCTCCTCGTTTCAACAACTAATACGAATAGAACCTTTTCAATAACGAAACATGTGAAAATTGATTTGCAGCAAAATGAGCGATGAATTTCTAGTCGATTGCTCAAGTATTTTATTTGAAACAGTGTATACTATTGGGATGGATGTGGACTTCATTATTAATGCATTCGCTAAATTTAAATACCGTCGTGTACAATTTACACTGTAAAAAAATTATGATCATTATATTTTTTTACTATTCTAGTTTTCTAATAAAATGTGGCCCAGTTCACTTCTGTGTTTTGGATCCGCCGCTGATTAAGTTAGGGAGAATGGATTTCAGCTTGTGGGAAAGATAAACGTTGGTGGGATGGAAATGTATAAACAGAAGTATATTACCTATACATGGTTGTTTATGTGGGGTATGAGCCCTTGATTGACTAGGATTGGGAGTTGTTTGTCCCATATGATACTGAGTTAAAGAAAGTATAAAGATAATTAAGCAATTAAGTATATACGGAGTGGGAGTGGAATAATACATGGAGATGTTTTTGGGAATCCTTGGATTGGATTAGTTAATTAATTTATTTTGAATCTTCAATGTATGCTAGCCCTCTTGCTTTAACGATATGATATTTAATTGAGTAAATGATTTAAGTGATGTGGGTGAGTTGCTAGCCTATTAAACGTGATTAATTGATTTTGTGTAAAGGAATGCAACAAGCAGGAGAATCATCGAAGCAAAAGGGAGTAGCTGAATAAAAATCGTATTGTGAGCAATTCTTAACCTAATATATATTTTAGTATGGGCATGGTATTCGGGTCATGAAGCGGCCCGGATATGTGGACTTGTGATAGATCGATAAATGAGCTATGAATGAGTAAAAGCTTATATGATGAGAATTGATAATGTGGATATGTATGAGTTTGCTATTTTCAACGTGTATTGATGAATGAGCTATGTGAAGAATGTATTGATGTGCAATTGAGATGATTGTGTATAGCATCAATGAGTATATGATATGATATGTGTGCCTACGGGCTTATGACGAGATGCTTTACATGAGTATTGTCTAACCCGTGAACTACGTGATCACCTAATAAAAATATAATGGCGCCTTGTTATGCACTCATGAAAAGAAAAAGAGAAGAAAAGATTTATACGAGAACTCCCTATAAGGAGTATCGCCAGGCCTAGCTACGAGTTCACGAGGTATGGCACTTCGTGCCCACGAGATTACGAGTTCATAAGATATGGCACTTTGTGCCCACGAGGGTATGAGATTTGGCATTTTGTGCCTACGAGATTACGAGTTCACGAGATCGAGGGGAGTGCATAACTTGGCATTAAAAGTAAAATGTACATAACCTAGCTAACTATGCTTGTGTTTGAGCCTTGGTACAAGGATTTCCTGTGATGTGGCTAAGTGATGTTTCCTACGATGTGTTTAATAGATTGTTCATGAGATTGGCGTATATATGTGAAGTCTTTACTGGGAGTGTTCATGCAATGATTCATTATGAGATTGTGTAGTTGCTACATGCCTCCATATGTTGCTGATTATATGGTGATACAAAAATGATGTGTTAGTGAATGTTTTACCTAGAATAGGGTTTGATATGAGTACCTCAAGGGTAAGTGTGTATGATATGAGAACCGCTTAGATTGGTTAATGAACCTTGCATACATAGTTGGGTAAAGTACCATTTAAGCTACTAGATTCGTTAAGTGAACTTAAGCCCTTGGTGTACCTGATCACCGTGCGCAACTGGAGTATATATTGGGTTATTGATTACTCATTGAGTGGCGTCTCACCCTCGCCAATATGTTCCCTTTTAGATACAAAGAAACAACAGAGCCTCGGTCGAACCATTGAAGTCAGCCGGATGGCTGAAAGGTGTGCGGCGGAACTGCACTCTCCACATGTTTTCACTTTTGAAGTCGAACTAAATGTTTTAACTCTTTTAAGCTTGTGTACCCACTGAATGTTAAACTACTATGTTGGGTTTTCACTTTGTTTTAAACTCAAACTTTGCACCGTTTGGTGTTCTGCTTTTGGATGCTTTGGGGAAACTAGCTAAAATTTCCTAAGCAGGTGATGTAACCCGTATGCTAGTGTTATGTCCAGGTCTGAATGTGAAGGTTTAATGAGTATATAATGTGATGATGTTTCCAATAGTACGAGAAGAAGTAGTAGGATGTTACAAGAAGTAGTAGGATGTTACAAGAAGTAGTAGGGTGTTAAAAAATAATATTTGACGGGGCATAAGTAACTAATATATGTATTATTGACTTCCATTACCTCCAAATTCGCTTCCGTGAAATCGTAAATTGAATCCCAGGGCAAAGAAATAGATAAGGGAAAAGAAATCGAATCTCAAAGGAGGCTGGGATGGTCCTTCTCCAGGTCGTGATCTCTTCGCCGATGTTTTAGTTCTTGCCATTGTGCAAAATCCCTGAAGCACAGACAAATATCCAGTAAGCACAGACATATATCCAATATACCACAGACAATTATCCATGAATAATATTATCAATATCTGGACAACATAGAATTAACATCATAGAAGTAATATCCAGAAACAACAAAAAGAAATATCCAGACATAGTATAACAAATATCTCAACCGCATAGAACTAATATAAGTGAACTAACATCCCTATAGGGCAGACAAATATCCAGACAGAGTAAACAGATATCCATGCATAGCATAACTAATATATGAACAATCAATTACAGAAAACTATCCATATCATTATAAAGTAGTATCCGAGGCCTGCTAACTGTTATCCACCATGAAACAAACTATTATTCCACGAATCAGAAATAAAAAATATCAACATTAACATCAAGTAGTTTTCCTAATCGAACCCAATATCCCCCAAATCCAATCCCAGATCCCCAAATAAAATCCTAGATCCCAGTCGCACATAATCCCATATCTAATCTAAGATCCTAGTCGCATAGAATCCCAAATCCCAATTGCACAGAATTCCAAATCCCAGCGGCGCATAACTCCAGATCCCCCAAATCGAACCCAGGATTCCTCAAATCGAATCTCAAATCCCCGAATCAAATCCATGAAACCACATAGTAGAATCAATGAATTAGGAGAAAGGAAGACGCCTACATGAACAACCTTCTTCTCCTCGTAGCTGGCGTCATGCACGTCTTCTTCCTTCTTGTTCGACCTACATCTTTTTCCTTCAGGTACCGCTACCATGAGGAACTACCACAGCTATCGTCATCGCCAAGCACCATCGTCTTCGTCTTCCTTGTGTCGTCATCTTCTTCTTTGCATCCCTTGCGCCGCCGTCTTGCTCGCAATCCTCGACGAAGAGGTTTTTGTGAGAGAGAAAGCAAAATTTTAATGGAGAGGGTAGATAAAGGAAATAGATGAAATGATGAAGAGAGAAGAAGAGACCAAATAAAATGATTTTTTTTGGATTTTTGGGCCCCACTTTTCCCTGCAGTTAGAAAGTGGGCTTGGGCCAGCCAAGTTAGTCAGTCTCTCCTCCACTTACATTTCGGCGTCACTACTCCACCACCCTCCAACCGCGAATCGACGATGTGGCCATCAATCTGGCCTTGTCAGTATCTCCTAACTCCTAAGTCCTAACAAAACACCCCGTTAACCCCATAACTATATATCAACAAAGATGCTCCAAAGCCATGCTCCTCCTTAACAGAAGAAACCTAAAATTCCCCTGAAATCCATCATCTCTAAGACTTCAGCCCTCTTTTAATCCTCGCTACTCGCTTCGATTCTATCCAACCAAATCCGCTACAGAATTTTCCTCTTGATGTAGAAACCCAAGACCACCAAGTTGAAGAACTAGAACCCTCCAAAACCACTTACTAGACTAGAAAAATTCACTACCTCTGCAACAAATGTCGGAGAGCCGACGAAGCCCTTCGTTTCCTCGAAAACCTTCGTCTCCGAGGCTACCACCCGGATTCTCTCAACCTCAATAGCATAGTCCACAGGCTTTGTCTGGCCAATCGTGTAAAATACGATAATGCGGAAAGGGAAAAGAAATTGGACACAACGATTTACATGGTTTCCCCGTTCGATGTGAACGAGACTATTCCATGGAGAGCACAAAGCTCTCGAGATTAGTTTTATTATTTTCACTCTTCTTTTGAATACAGCCGCCCAGTACAAGGGGTTTTATACCCGAAAACCAAACCCTAAACTCCTATACACATGCAACGCGGAGTAAAGGGAAATTACTAAGTGATCCTTAATTAAATGAATAATTAAGAATCACTACACTCCCCCTCAAGCGAAGGAGTGAATGTCAAGAAGTCCAAGCTTGACGAAGAGATGATGAAACTGGTCAACACTCAATCCCTTCGTAAACAAGTCAGCTGGCTGGTCGGCAGTGGCAATTTTGGCCGGAGAGATGTCACCAGCCTGCACCCGTTCACACACAAAGTAACAATCCATTTCCACGTGTTTAGTGCGTTCATGAAACACGGGGTTAGCAGCAATGTGAAGAGCTGCCTGATTGTCACAAAACAAGGTGGTAGGACTCGCAGACGGCACCCACAAATCATGAAGCAGCCAACGCAACCAAAAAAGCTCACTAACAGTACTAGCCATAGCCTGGTATTCAGCCTCGGCAGAGGAGCGCGCAACAACTGTTTGCTTCTTCGTACGCCAAGAAATGGGAGAGCTCCCAAGAGTGATAAAGTAGCCAGAAGTAGACCGGTGAGTGGTGGGACAACCACCCCAATCAGCATCACAGTAGCCTGTTAAAGTAAGCGGCGTAGTAGCTGAAAAGAAGAGACCACAGCCGGGGGAGCCTTTGAGGTAGCGAAGAACACGAACTGCCGCATCCTCGTGAGCATGTGTCGGGGACTGCATGACCTGACTGAGTATATTCACGACATAGGTAATATCCGGGCGGGTGACTGTGAGGTAAAGAAGACGGCCCACAAGAAGACGGTAAGTTGCAGGATCTCGAGCTGGTGGAGAAGCCAAACGACCGAGAGTGTGTTGCTGCGCTATGGGGGTCGAGCATGGCCGGGCTGCCTCAAGACCAGCATCGGCCAAAATGTCAAGAACATACTTCCGCTGGTTGAGAACCAGACCTTTGGGACAAGAAAGTACTTGAGAGTCCCAAAGTCCTTGATAGTGAACTTATCATGAAGAAATGTCTTGACACGCTGAATGAAGGAGAGATAATTACCAGCAAGAATCACATCATCAACATTGATGAGAGAGACAACAAAGGTGGAACCATGCCGATAAGTGAAGAGAGCATGATCAGCTCTGCTCTGAACGAACTTGAACTCAAGTAAGGCCTGGGTGAACTTCTGGTACCAATTCCGAGAAGCCTGACGCAGCCCATAGATCGATTTGTGCAACCTGCACACACGAGTATCACCAGGCTTGGCAAATCCTTGGGGTATTTACATGTATACTTCCTCCTCCAAATCGTCGTGGAGAAAAGCGTTGTTGACATCGAGTTGATGGATGTGCCACTCACGCGTCACAGCTACGGTAAGAACAGAGCGAACAATGACCAGTTTTGCGACAGAAGCATAAGTATCATGAAAGTCAACCCCTTCAATCTGGGTATAACCTTTGGCGACCAAACGTGCCTTGAAACGCTCGATGGACCCATCGGGATGGAACTTGATCTTGTAAACCCACTTGGAAGCGATAGCTTTCTTTCCAGGTGGTAAGTAAACTAGTGACCAAGTACCATTTTCTTCAAGTATCTCCATTTGCATTGCTTTGCGCCAATACTCGTAGCGAACTGCCTGAGAAAACCGAGTGGGCTCATGAATCCCCGTAACCGCGGCAACAAAGGCGTTATGGGCCATCAAAAGACGGTGGTAACTGAGGTAATCATCCAAGGGGTAACGAGCACAAGTAGAGTGAGCTGCCTTGGGAAATTGCACATCATATCCCTCTAACCGGACGGAAGGCTTGCGCACCCGATCGCTACGTCGGGGGGGGGGGGGGGGGAGCAACAACTGGCTCGGCAGGTGCATGGGGACTGCCCGCCGAAGGAGAGGACGTATCTTTCATTTCCAAAGGGAAAGGAGGCTATGGGGAGTCCGTGGGAGCAGCATTTAAATCCGAGGAGGCCAAAGGGTCTGGCGTGGCCGAAGGAGAGTCGGGCTGGGCAATATCCAGCTCGTCGTGGTTGGGGAAGGCAAGGGTTGTGTCCTCATCATAGAGTGCAGCTGGCATGGAAGGTCCTGGTGGCAAAGGAACCGGTCGAGGCGTAGAAGGAGGAAGATCTCGATAAGGGAATATATGCTCAAGGAACTTAATAACGTGAGGTATACACTTGCTTCTTCTCAAGATCATATATGCGGTAGCCTCGCTGAGCCATAGGATAACCCAGAAACACTCCCATACCTCCTCGATCACCAAACTTGTGTAAACTGTGATGAGTATAGCGGGCATAGACCAAACAACCAAGCTCCTTAAGTGACTATAACTCGGCTCCTTGCTAAAAAAAAGGTGATAAGGAGATTTGTTCCCAATAGGCACCAAGGGAAGACGATTTATGAGATAAGCGGCGGTGAGGACACATTCTCTCTAAAACCGCAGTGGGAGATTAGCATGAAAACGCAGTGCCCGAGCTGTATCGAGTAAATGGCGGTGCTTACGTTCAACAATACCGTTCTGCTGTGGAGTGTCCGTGCAGGAAGTTTGAAGAATAATACCATTGCTCTCGTAAAACTCGACCAACTGTTTGCTAGAAAATTCGGCACCATTATCGGCCTGTATGCGCCGAACTTGCCCGCCAAACTATGTTTGAACCATGTTGCGGAAATATAAGAGATGACGACCTGCATCAGATTTATATCGCATCAAAAATACCCAGACTGCACGGATGTAGTCATCCACAACGGTCAAAAAATAATGTGCTCCCGAAGTAGAAGCCGTCTTATAACTCCCCCATATATCCACATGTATTAACTCGAAACATGTTTTGGATTTAATTGTACTGGGAACAAAAGGAGCCCGAGTATGCTTAGCACGCAAACAAGAGTGACAGGGTTCCTTATTCTGAACAAAAACGCAATCAACAAGTTTCTGCAAAACTTTCATTTTTCCAAACGAAGGATGTCCAAGGCGCGCATGCCACAACTCCGATGTCTCTAAAGCACTCCTGACACTGTTGGCCATGATATGATCTCCATCAAACAACCGGAGAATGTAAAGACCATCGACGTGCTTACCCATCCCAATCAGCCTCTTGGAAGGTAAGTCCTTAATTACAGAGAAGTCACGTAAGAAGATCAATGCAACTGGCAGATCTCTTGTAAGCCGACTAACAGATAGGAGGTTGCACTGAAAGTCAGGAACATGTAGCACACGACCCAAAATCAAATCATTATACAATTTAGTCGAGCCAATACTGTGAACTTTAACACCTGTACCGTTAGGAATTTTCACCTGCAAGGCCGGACAAGAATCCGTCTCGACATCCAACAAAGAGTTGTGGTTAACAATGTGCTCATTGCACCCGGAGTCTATGGTCCATGTTGTCGACATATAAGATTGTGACGAGAACATACCTGCCATATTTGAGGAAGGTTCGATGGCACCCGGCGAGGAATGATGAAACTCGGACGCAAGCATTGCCTTTAACTGGGCAAATTGCGCCGTAGTTATGCCTGGAAGGGAGCTCTCGGCCACATCCACCTGTGCTGCTTGTGGCGATGAGTGCGAGTCCCGATCAGCACGGGGACGAGAAAGTTGTTCGGACGACCTGTTGTTGCTGCACGTGGGGTAGCCAACAAGCTGATAGCATGTTTCCTTCGAGTGACCACGGCGACGACAATGGGAGCATCGCGGACGATCTTCTGGCTCACGATCAAAACGCGCATCACTATTAGACCGAGTGGATGATCCATCGGAGCGATCGGTTCGCCTCTCCCCTTGAGCTTGGAAGGCCGAAGCTTCTGGCCGAGGGCAACGATGATGAGCTATTTGCCGCTGTTGTTCGTCGTTCATGACGAGCTGATAAGCTTCTCCAAGGCTCGGTATGGGCCTCATAGCTAGGATTTGAGATTTCACAGTAGCAAAAACATCATCCAATCCCATTAAAAAATCAAATAGCCTCTCGTTCTCACGTACCTTGCGCTGCCGTTTCTTGACGTCACAGCTGCAGCCTGCACACGTACACTCCAATGAGGGAGTTAGGGACTGGATTTTGTCCTAATAGCCGCGTAATTTTGTGTAAAATGAGGAAACGGAGGATTTTTCCTGCTGCAGGCTAATGATAGTGCTTTTGAGCTCGTAGATGCGTGGTGCACTGCCGTGGCTGAAGCGGGACTGCAAATCCACCCATATCTCGCGCGCAGCTGTAGCAAAACGTACACTGTCACGTACCTCGTTGGTCATAGAAATTTTTAACCAGCCCTTGACCATGGCGTTGCACTGACGTAAAGCCTCTGTCTCGGCTTATCCTTGTGGAAGCGGTAGGGTTCCATCCACGAAGCAAAGCTTGTTTTTCGCAATAAGCGAGTTAGTGATGTCGACGACCCATTCACTATAGTTTACGTCGTTGAGTAGCTCCCCCACAAACTGACTGTTTGGGCTGTCGGAGTTATGGAGTATGAGATGCGGCGGCAAAGTAGGCGGATTCATGGAGCCGCCAGCGCCGCCAGACTTGAGCTTCGAGGGTTGTTCCTTCTCGTCGCCCGAACTCATGATGATGACAGCTAGGTCTAATTAACCAGCTTTGGTACCATGTAAAATACGATAATGCGGAAAGGGAAAAGAAATTGGACACAGCGATTTACGTGGTTTCCCCGTTCGATGTGAACGAGACTATTCCACGGAGAGCACGAAGCTCTCGAGATTAGTTTTATTATTTTCACTCTTCTCTTGAAAACAGCCGCCCAGTATAAGGGGTTTTATACCCGAAAAGCAAACCCTAAACTCCTATACACATGCAACGCGGAGTAAAGGGAAATCACTAAGTGATCCTTAATTAAATGAATAATTAAGAATCACTACAAATCGCTACAAGGAAGCCCATCACTGGTCCTGTCTGTTCTTGGACTCTGGTTGTATCCCTGATGAGCGTACTTGTAGTGTGATCATATCTAGGTTGCTCGATTCGAGATGCCCATCTGATAGTTTGAATATTCTGTGGCGTTTGGTTGGTGTTAAGCCTGAGTTTGCTCCTTTCTTGGTTAATTACACCCGGTTAATTTATTGTTTTGCGAGGTTTCGTTGCCTGGAGTTGGACATCGGGCGTTTCTCGATATGGTGAGTAGAGGGAATTGCCCAAATGTGGTTTCTTTCACGACTTTGATTGACAGGTATTGTAAGATTGGAGAACTTGGTCTTGTGTATAATGTGTTTGATGAAATGATTGAATATGATCGGGTGGTCCTGAATTCTCTCACTTATGGTATTGATTCGAGGAGGCTTGAGGAGAAGAGATATTGAAAAGGGGAGAGAATTGATATCTTTACTCTAGAGGAGGATGAAGGAGGAAGAGGATCAATCTCTGAATGCAGCTCCTTTTGCAAATTTGATTGATGCCTTGTACAGAGAAGCTTTTACAATGAGGTTTTTCATATTTTTGAAGGCATTCCTCAAGTAAGAGTGTTGATGATGTTTTTGCTTATGGTCACATGATTGATTCACTTTGTAGAGTAGAAGAAGCCATGGTGCTTCAAGGGTTGTTTATATATTGCGAAATCGAAGATTTGTTCCCAGCCAAGTGTCGTATGAATCTATTGTCCACAGACTTTGCAAGGAGAGGAGTTACCCAAGGGCATTCTCTGCGAGGAAATGGACATATGCAAAACGAAAGCAGTTCTAGAGATCATGTTGAATAAGTCAGGGTTGGACAAACCGAGAATGTAAAATATATACTTAACAGCGCTTTGGCAGTTGAATAATCCCACTGAACTCTTGAATGTGGTAATGTTACCATGCTAGACTAATTGTCAACGTGATTTGGTGTTAGACCTAATGTTGTGACATAAAACGGAGTTCTTCGTTGTCTATCCCAACTCAGGTTGTCAAATGATGCTATGGCTATGTTCGAGAAAATGATAATTGATCATGTGGACACAGACAATACAACTTATAGTATAGTGATTAGTGGGTTATCAGAGTCGGACCAAAGAGAGAGGGCCGAGAGTTTCCAGACTGGTGTTGTGTGGCCTTCTAAGATTCATGATAATTTAGTTTATGCAGTCATTCTCAAGGGACTTCGTGGGTGTGCCAAATTGAACGAGGCATGCGATTTCCTGTATGAATTGGTCGATTTCGGGGTCACTCTGAACACTAGGTGCTACAATTTTGTGATTGATGTTGCATGCACGTTAGGGATGGTACGTAAGAGAAGCTTATCAAATGATGAGAGAGATGCGGAAGAATGTGTTGGAACCTGATGCCATAACTTGGAGGGTTCTTGACAAACTTCATGTCAGTGTAGAGAATGATAGTGGTTTAGGATTATCAACTCTGCAATCCTAAGGTACACCAACAGATTCTGAAGTCATGTGGCTGTTTCAAATGGTCTATGCTCAGCTCTTCCACCATTAAGGACGACTCACCCATGCTTTAAGAAGTTGCTTACATAGTGGTACATCTGCCAGTTCACAAGAACATTTGGCCAGGTTCAGCCATGAGCATATTAGTCTATTGGATTGTATGACAACCTTCCCATCGGCATGCTGCAACTGAAAGGTACGGAATTAGGGAAAGCAAATGAGTAGAGATTTTCCTGTAAAATATAGATTTGGAAGGCTTTCCTGTAAAATGAAGATTTGGAATGCCTTCACATGGTTGTTGGTCTAAACAGCATGAATGTCTTGAATCCCGATTCCAATCTAGCTTTAGATAGCGAAAGGCAGTCTTTCACTAAAAGGAATTGAGAAGTAAGAATTATTTCCTATAAAAGAACCTTATTTGTTACATATCCGATACCAAGTTATAGAAAAAAAACTTCAACTTCAGATCTTAGGCAATGATGGATTGTAAATAAAAAACATACCCTCACACACTCAGCACAATAGTGTCATGAAACAAGTATGACAACTAGAAAAAATATTGAACACAAACCAAATCATAAATTAGGAAAGATACAAATAACCTGAGAAGACTTCTGTTCTGTATGTTCGTTGATACTTGATCAGTCTTTAGCATCCTATGCAACTGAAGAACTTCCTTGGTGTATACCCGGTGGCTCTGTATGTTTTTGCAGTTTCCTCAATCTTAACGTATTCTTCACCTTTAGTTGCTTCAATCACTACCCTCTTCTCCTCTGCTTCCTTGTGGACTTCAGCTAACTTGTTCTGCATCTTCTCAGCATATTCTGCCTTCTTCTTCTGCAGTTGCTCCTGCATATTACAAATGGAACCCGATAAGCTCTAAATTGCATGAAACAAGTAATTCACTATAAAAATAACTTAATGTGAAACAATAAATCATTACCTCATACTCCTGGAGCTGTGCTTCTACAGCTGCTTTCTTGGTATTCTCCCACGATTCAATTGCAGCGAGCCTTTTGTAAGTCCTAGGTTGTCAAATATTCTTAGCTTAGCTGATGGAATGGAATGATGACATGATTTGGTAGTGGCAGAATAGGGAAATTGCATATGCTTACTTGTTGTCGATTTTGGCCTCCTCATTTTCTTGCCATGCACAGATCAAAGCATTTATTTTCTCTGTTTCAATCCTTAAAAGGGCAGTATCTGCAAGAGAATCCGGAATCAAATGATCAGTTCATCAGAACAATTTCAGCTTTCAAAAACAAAGGTAAACTCCAAAATATCATCATGTACCTCTGTTGATTGGATTGAGTGGAGTCTTTTCTGTTGTGTTTTCTTAAATTGCTGCCTCATCTAGAGAATTTTTAGAAGGTGAGGAACAAGATGAGTCCATTTTAGGGTAAAAGAAGGATCATTGCAGAAAAGTGACAGTAAAGTGGGCTGGTGTTTATGGTGACAAATGAACAGAAGAGGAAATAGAATCTCCTCCATTAGGGAACCATAAAATCCCAAACTAGTATTAGCTTTAATACTATTCAATTTATCCTTAATATGTGACTAAAGTTAAAGATTTCTTTTTTATTGAAGTCAATTAATTTGTTTCTAAAACTCCCTTCCAGCTAATAAAGAAACTCCCTGCAATCCAAGAATACACGCACACACAAGTGCAAAGTTGATAGTTTTTGGAATTTTTGGACAGAAAGAAAGAGCTAGGGAGAAAATCATGGGGCTAGGATCGTACTTCCAGTTTCATTCTCAGAATCTGCTGCAATCTTCTGGGCGTCGGCTCAGTAGCAGCAGCAGCACAAACAGCTGGGGCAGGGACAATTTCTCCCATGATGATTTTGCTTCTTCTCCCATGATGTTTAATCCTGGGTTTAAGAATCTAAGAACACAAGTGGGCAAAAGATGAACTGGTGATGATATATAGGATGGAATTGGCAGGGAAGGAGAATACAAGATTGGCAACCAGGAGACAGCAAATCTCTCAAGAGAACTGAACTACTACGAACAGAAGTGTTGGGGATGCCGCAGGAAGGCAGGAGTTAGGTGGAAAATCTGTAGTGGAAGTTGAGATATGGACAAAAAGACAGACAACCTTTGTTTCTGTAGACTTTTGTTCTCTGCTTAATTAAACACCATTCGTCACCCCAAACTTATACGGGAAAGAACTTTTATTACTAAGCATCGTGCAATACCATGGAATCTTTTCCTTTCTAAATTTGTCAATCAATCACTCTTTCCACCAATATTTCTTTCCCCTCTCCTCTTGCATAATTTTTAATATTATTATTAGGGCTTATGTTGTAGACAACAGTAATTAATCTTTTGTTGCATATGATTACACAAAGCAAAAAAATGATTAATCATAGAGTTATTGTTGAATGTCAAGTTGGATACAAATTTCGCTAAATATGATTACACAGAGTAGCAAATGATCAATCACAGAGTTACTGTTGAATGACAAGTTGGATATTGAATTTATGGGCAAGTTGAGAGTTGGATTTGCAGGTTGAATCCGAGTTTTCAAAAGGGTTGGATCTAATCAATGTGCATGGCGAATAGTAAGGGAGATGGGTTTGTAGTTTGTGGCCGAGTTCACAAGGACTGCATATCTAACGAACACGTTTGCATGGACTGATAATTGGATTTTTTGTGTTATCGAGCCTATTTTATAATATGATTTAGTTGAAGTAGAAGCAAACCTATTTGACATTACAAGTTGAATACTGTGAAGTTATTGTTTTATCACGGATCACTTAGTTTGGGGTTAAGAATTGTAAATTAATCAGGTCAAGAATATATCGCGATCTAAGTGAATAAGCTATTGGACTCGTTTGACATAAAGAAGAAGGGTTATAGGTATAATATGCCCCTCAACTATGACGTTTTATCAAACATGCACCTCTACTATTTTTTACATCAAATATGCCCTTGTACTTTGAAAAAATTTATCAAACATGCCCTTCTGTTAAAATTTCCATTGAAAAAATCGTCAATCATGGTTGAATTGAGATTTAGACGACCCGACATCGGCAAATGGGAGGAAAAATGTCAGTTGTGTCCCCTGCTTTATTTCCCTAGGTCTTTTCAAAATGAAATTATTTGAATGATTTGATTATACAAAAGAACCAAAAAAATTCTAAAGGAAATTTATTAGGGATATTTTAGTCATTTGTGTCACTCAAAATAAAGTTCGGCCTTGGTTAACGGTTTTTCGATGAAATTTTAGCAGAAGGGCATGTTTGATAATTTTTACAAAGTACGGGGACATGTTTGATGTAAAAAATAATAGAGGGGCATGTTTGATAAAACATCATAGTAAAGGGGCATATTATTATATCTATAACCCAAAGAAGAATTAGAATATGTAGTTTGATGTTAAGACATGTTAATTAATTAGGCCAACAATATCTCTATCCAAAGTGACTAATATGGGTATATGATATTTATGATTTAATATGGGTACGAGAAATATTCACAGAGAGGCTAGTGGAAATAAGGTGGAATCAGCTTATATAGGTGTCCGTCCAATCTCATATCCATCGTCATCAAACATTCAGCTTATGCATCACATAGTGATCCAACAACACATCAAATAGCTCTGATACCACGTTGGATGAATCGATCGTTGATAGAGAGAGAATATCTATGTTATCTTTGTATTAGTTAATTGAAAGTAATTACAGTAATTTAGATGATCAAAATAAAAACAGGAGAATAAATAGAGTATTTCCTAACAACTTGACTTGACTAGTTAAGTTCTAGTACCTATAATAACTAAGGTTGACTTCAACGGGAGCGCCATGTATGGCGAGAATCGCCATTTGGTGCCCGAAAGTTGGGGATGAAAATGGGGATTCCCCAGAAAATGGGGAAGGGATGTGATGGTGGGCAGGACAATCGCCAGCCCTCCACCTGACTTTTTTTTTCTTTTTAAGATTTTAGGGATTAATTGGAGTTTAATTAGTGGATTAATTAGAAGTTTAATTAGATCAATTATTTTCACGTGTTGTGTGTAAAGAAAAGTTAGGTCAATCATTTTTTGCTAAAAAAACATTCGGTCTGAAAAATTAAAAATGCTATCGAAAAATTTTTATTTAAAAATGATGATGAACTATACAAAAATTAACATGAACAAATTATATTAAGACGATCATGAGTACAGTTTTAAGTAAAGAAAAATAAAAAAATCCCCAAATTTAGAAATGGTAGCATTGGAGCAAAAATAATGAAAATATGGATCATCCCCAAATTTGGAGATGGTCCCAACACAAAGTACAAAATATAATCCCTAACTTTCTTCATATAGTACAAAGTGATCCTATGCTAATCCTGATCTGGATCATAATCATATCATAAGAATGATTAACTGATTATTATATCCCTAACATTTAATATCCCTTCCCTATTTGCCCACTAAAAGTACAATTGTATAACCCAAATATAACCAAAGGGCCTAGTACGCAAAAGCTAAGTGAGAATGTAGATTGAGGTCCGAAATAACTAGGCAAAAGTTGAACCATATATATAAGCCAATGAAAAAGGACATTTACAGTATTACAGTTAACGTATCAGCTATTGCTCAACAAAGTCAGGATGGCCGAGTGGTCTAAAGCGCTAGATTCAAGTTTGGGTGTTCGATACAGGATTTGGGTTCAAATTCCACTTCTGACAACCCTTCATTCTTTTCCGTTGTTTTTTACACTGATTTTTTTTTCCGTTGTTTTTTACACTGATTTTTCCCGCTTCTGCAATCGCATGGCAGCTCATTTTATTCTAACCAGTAATCAGCCTGCGCTCCGCGGCGGGATAAGTTTGACCTGTGAAGCTTTATGAATTATGGAACACTACTCTGAGCATTACTGTTGCTTAATAACCTCTGTCAATGCTACAAAACAAAAGGCAGTGCATAATAACCTTGTCAAGTCCAAAAGTTGCCGCAAATCACAAAATCAAATTTGAACATTGTTTTCATTGTATCAAAGCGGGAAAAATAGAAACCTAGTTTAGGATAATAGAGGTGGGTAGGATGCATCAGAAAGTCTTTTCGTCATTGATATTGATGATCACTTGTCCATTCTCGAGGTATGCCAAAGTGTTGAAACTCTTATGTGAGGTACGGCTGATGAAGCTCTGTTCTTCAAATATGAGGAATCGATGTACAGCTCGCCTGCAAACATTCTGCTACACTTTTTGATCAACAATGCCTTTGCCGATTCCGAATCGAGTTTCTTGTATTTGTTGGGGGACATGCCGATTATCGAAAGAGTTGCCTCATGGTCCAGTATGACGTCAATATCGTCATATCCTTGTTCACATTTGACTTCCAATTGATAGTGCAAGCTAGTAATGTACGTGAGTGAAAAATTGTGTTAGTTTATTAGCAAATAGATCATGAAACATAGGTTGTAGTGTTGTCTCTGAAACTGAAAACTTACGCTGGGAATTCCTCAATTGTTCGACAAATGCTTTTTCGAAATTTCAGTTGTAATATGTGGAACTTGGCACGGTAAAGTACCTAATATGAATGGCACATGTTGATTAGATATGTATGAATATAAAATGCAAGTGTAGAATGTAAGCGTTTGTGAGCCGTCCTGTCCGTAACAAACCTTGTGGCAACTCTGATCAGATGCGAGCATTGCTTTTATGTCTGCAAGTGTCTTCTTCTCGATTCCTGGGCGAAGGCAGCCTATTTTTTTATAGGTGTTGGCATCCATGTAGTAAACTTGCCTGCGACTATAAAGGAAGCTGGTTGTAGCGAAAAAATTATATGTTAGTTTTTGCTTTAGTTGACTGATGGTACGTATGATTCAAGGAATGAATAGCATTTATTTAGAGAGAAATGTACATGTGCATGATTTCCTTGACTGAGCCTGTGTAAGATCTAATCATCAACTCACTGGCAGGAGTGGATTCAAAACGGTACTTATACTTCTGGCTGGACAAAGGTGTCACTCGCATGGTTGATTTGATGGTGACAATAAGGGGCAAGTGAGCCTCCGCTGCTGGCGCATTCTCTAAGAACTTTGATATACCATATCCTCGATACTGAACAATTGCCTTAGCGCCACTGTTCGGGGCACAGATATATGAGGTTGCTGGTTCATATAGTTCACAAATTAACACATTATTATTCTATTGAACGTACCTGACATCCTGTACGACCATATGAAATTATTGGAGAGTACCACGAACTGTTGTGGGAACACTGACACGTCTGATGCATACAGTTATATCTGTGATTGACAAAGAATTCTGTCGTCATTAAGTTTAGGCTTATTTTAGTATGATGAACAAAGATAGTCAAATGTACCTGTATGGTAGTCAATGGTATTGGTCTGAAGTGGTACTATCGAAAAAGTCATCCCAATGTCCCAACCGACGGGCATGCGTGGGTCTGGGTCATCTGGGTCCTCTTCAATCCTTGAAATGTTTTGTTCGGGAGTTATGTGGATCCTTAACTCGCCTGGAACAATCCTTGGATTCTCTCTTGCTGGTACAGCCACCACCGAATCGAGCCGATAAAGGTTCCCGACTTTTACCTTGCGAGAAATCTCGGTGATGTCTTTTTCATCAACCATTGACTCGATCAATCGTGCCTATAAGAAATACAGTTTAGCGATTTCAAACCGTACAGCGCACTGGTTTTAAATCAATTATGAAAGGATAGTTCAATCTTGTAAATGAATTGTAAATTAACCTTCTTGTCTACCCAAATCATGTGCATGCTGATATCTTTTAACTTTGATGCCTCTCGGAATTCAAGCCACGCTATCACAGGCCGAGCAATAATTGTGCGGTTGTTTGTGCCCAAACGCGACCCCCGAAATGGCATGCAAGTATCGATAGGATCTATCAGATAATAAAGGGAAAAGAAATGGATATTTTATCTTTCTTGCAGAGGATTCGAGATTCTTGCGAGGAGTTTTTAACAAAAATGGAAGGTTCTGACCTTTGGCATCGATGGGGACCATGTGACCGCTCTCTGTTGACTGGTGGTTTTTGGGTAAACTCTCCATGTTGGGTGGGGCTTCTGTGCAGGCAATTCAAGTTTCGATCAGAAGTAATTTTTCAGGCGTAAAACACGTGAAGAAGAGGAAGACATGGACTTACCTTTGTCCTAAAGCTTGTCTGGTAGTCTCTGTAGTGGGTCTCCCGCCGTGGGGAAGGATCGACGAAGATGTGGACGGCAAATGTGGTTGTTGAGGGAATATAGGGTTTTAAAGGGGAATGTCCATTTTGGACGGGCTTGCCATGGGTTTTTATTTGTAGCCCTAAAGCGTCATTTGGATTGGGCTTAAATGGGCCATTATATTATTCTTTTACAGTGGGCCTGTATATTTGCTTATTCTAGTTTCTTATTGATCTGCGGATTTGTGGATTAAGGTCCAAGCAAAGTAATTTATACATAATCGAAATTTCTATCTAAACTTTTAATGGATACCATTCTAATAACTCAGATTTTTCATCTATGATATTAACCATAGGATATGTTTGTAGAACTGATCGCCAAAAGCAAAGATGAATGTAGTTCTTGATCATTTGTGATCTGATGCATGATTAAGACAAAACATTCATCTCTCTGAGCTGTTAAGATACAAACATTAGAGCCTTCTAGGCTGACAAAGCACAGAAAGCGCCGGCTAAATTATTGTCAACATGAGTGCATTTGAGAGATCCTTCGATCCTGTAATGGAAACAATCATTTGTATTACGCATATTTACTAATATAGACATTGATTCATTCAATAGGTTTAGTAGGATTACCTGATATGCAATTTAGATATCCATAATGTTAGCAAATGCTTCGACGAAGACGATGTTTCTTGTAAAGTCGTGGGGGATTTCTGCTGGGTTTTCTATAAGTATCCTCAAACCTCTCGCTGATTTTACTCTTGAAACTCCCACATAGAGTTGGCCGTGGCTAAAAACTGGTTCAGGCAAATATATCCCAACTTTTTCGAGCGTTTGTTCTTGGCTTTTGTTTATAGTCATTGCATAGCATAATCACACTGGGAATTGCCTCCTTTTAAGTATAAAGGGGCACTTGGATTTCTCTACATTCAACACTATTCTTGGTATAATGACCTCATCAGTGTCATAAGAACCGCCCATAATGTTGCCTTTTATATAATTGTCTCCGAAAGATGTGATCATGATCCTTGTGCCATTGCATAAACCAAGACCAGGATTCAAGTTTCATAGGAGCATAAATGGTGTGTTTACCTTTATTGTGAGCTCATGGTCTGGCACTCCGTTGAATGTAAGAGTGTTGAGAAACTCAGTTGGATAGCTTTCGTCGAATGAATCTGCTGTTTCTGTCGATAGCAATAGTGAGTCTGAGCTGTAATAGGTTGTCGAGCTTCCTGGAACATGTTGAAGCATGTAATTATTGATTGTAGAGACAGTTGCATTGGTTGGAGTAACTATGGCTCTAGTGGTGAGGTATGATGGGTGCCTATGATTATGAGGAAACGAATCATATATATCATCTGCTATTGACTAAACAGGATCATTTCCGGGATCAATCAAGAACAGTTGTGGTATCTGTATCCAATCCATTGGAGCATCTTCTCTTAATGATGTTGCTTTTAGTCCTCCATCTCCTAAAGCGAGAACCCATTCTGGAAATGTGTACCCATGTATAAGATGCTGATCAGCATATTGAACGGTTGTGATTCGCATGTTTGTAGACAACTGCATTACTTTGAAATAACTCCATAATTTGGACCTAGTCAATGAACTATCAACAGTCTGTTCACGTCCAGCCTCGGTGATAACCGGAAGAGTTTGCCGAAAATCTCCACCAAAAAGGACCGTCTTTCCTCCAAATGGTTTGTAACGATCCTCAAAAGCTCTTCGATGTGTCATACGCGCCTCATCCCATATGATTAAGGATGCTTCTTTTAACAGATCAGCCAAATGTGTACCGTGTTTAATTGGACATGTTGACGTTGCATCCAGAATGAGAGGGATTTTGAATCTTGAATATGCCGTTGTTGCTTTGGGAAAGTGTTGCCGCAATCCCCGATGATGCGACCAGAACAACTATCTTCCCCCAACTCCTAAGCTTTGCTGTAATTACATTATAGAGATATGTTTTCCCTGTACCTCCGTGACCATATAGGAAGAAAGCACGACCCATCTTGTTGTGAACTGAGTTGATGACTGCTGAATAGACAGTGGTTTGATCAAAATTCAGAGACTTCAACATAGAGGTGGCTAATGCATGTTGCTGGTCCGTATCAAAAGCTAGATGCTCGTTTGTGAGTGGGTTCTCGCCATTATCACATGGACCATCGGATGGGAGCGGAAGATTAAAGTCCTCAAGAGTCATTGAATGTGAGCTCAACATAGCCTGTAGTTGATGTAGAACCCAGTTATGTAATCGTTCGTCGCTAGGCCTCACACTTCGATCCCTGAGATCCTTGACTGAACTATATGCATAATCTTCAGACATAGATTTCCAAGAAGAATTGAACAATGTGATCGGGCTAGGTATTTAACAGAATATAAGCATTGACACGAAAGTGCTTCGAATCACCCTTGGCATGCTAGAAGATGAGATATCATTTAGCACTCGGATCCACTCTGAAGAGTCTGATAAAAGGCCCAATTTTCCACAAGATTTTTTCAAAATCTGAACAAAGTTCTCCATCGACAGTTCTCATATGAACATAACTAATAGCGCCGCGAACTTTCGTGAGCAGCATTCGGAGGAAAAAAAACATTGCCAGAACCTGGCGGAACATATGCAATTCTGCCTATAGCAAATCCTTTTTTGCGGGGACTCCACTCTTTACAGTCAGGTAGCCAAGTGTAATTGTTTGGTGTCTGCGCATATGTAAGAGTTCTTGCTTGGGGATCCCTTCGATTAAGCGCAAACCATTCTGTTAAGTGCGTCTTACCGGCGTATGGATTCCCCAAAATATTCCGAACATTTTATTGCTTCTTATAAGGTATTTTTTGCTGGCCGTCCAAATGAACTCCCAAACGCACTACTGTCGGTTCTCTTACATGTATTGGATATTCATTCAGCCTCCATATAGCTTCATAAGATGACAACGATCGGCAGTCAATGAATTGTTGAATTTCATCTCTGTATCTCACAGGCTGGACTTCTGCATTGCTCTGGGGTGCATCAGCATTTTCAGCAATCACTAATGACCTTTCCGGCCCTTTCGTCACATATTTGAAAAGATATTTAATAAGTTTGCCTTTATGACATACCTCAACATTGATATGAGCCTGCATCCTCACTAACAAATTTATGTTGTATGGAACAATATGTCGATTGTCGAGGACTGAACTTCCCTTTTGAACCTCTATGCCAGAGTTAGATCTTCTGTAGATGACATTTCCGAACTTGTCAAATGACGTTGCTGAGTTAAACTCTTTTGGGAATTGTTTCGAACATCTTCCGTTTGAGGGCCGTTTATTGTCTCGCATGCACGGTGCATTTGTGTTTGCTTCTCCACATGGACCATGTAACATATATTTGCAAACAGCCTCATATCCAACTGGATCTTCTTGGGGATCAGGAAGTTCGGCTGAGATGACTTCATCAATATCATCTGCTGTCCTTAGTTTATTCTCTTCAGCCAACCAAACCTGCAAGTGTATGTGAGGCAAACCTTTTTTTTTTTTTTTGAAACTCCACTGTATACATTACTGGTGCAAAGCAAAACTTGTTAGAAAGGGAGGTATCCAAATATGTGCATTGAAAAGTAATTGATTGCTTATACTGACCAAATTATATCAAATGATCGTACTGCTCTTACTTGCGATTGTCTTCCCAAAGTAGGAGTTTTTCTTAATGTCGTCGATGAGAATGCTCAGCTTTATGTGGAAAACCCTTGAAACCACTATTGGTTTGTCCGAACAATTCGGGCCAACAATGTCACGAAAAGCTTCTGTTATTTCTTCCCACAATGAATTGCACGTAAATGTAATAAATAGATCCGGATTTCCATAGAACTCGACCACCGCCATTGCATCGTGATATAATTGTTGCATATATCGTGGGCTGCCTATATAAGTCCCAGGGAGCACTACATGACCCACTTTATCCCCATCAAGATCACCTCGCGCCATTGCATCTTGCAAGCCTTGATAAACCTCAGCTCTAAGTTGTGGCTGATGGTAGTGCAAAAAAGCTAGCCTATTTAACTCTATTGATGAATAGGCGTCTATGCAAAAGTGTTGAAGAGCTTTTCCAGCTTGAACAATTGTATGGCCTTCGTTGATGCGATATTGGAGCCTAAATGTATAATACTCACGCTGAGTAACAAACTGTCGACGCATAGAAGGAGGACAGTAAGCTGACCTGTACTTGATAAGTGGATGATAGCCATCCTCTCCATATGGAAATAAGAGCGGGAAATGTAATGCATCAAATTTTGGATTGAGACTTGTAATTCTCTTCAAACCCTCATATATGTGATCAACAATAATATCTCGATCCTCTCTGTCCGGAATAAAATCGCCCGGTATAAGTGCCGCGATTTCAGTGCTGCTGGGCAAGTCATACTGTCGATTTCTGCTCTTAGCTCCAAAAATTTGAAGCTTTAAACTTGTTGTTGTAGAATCTTGCAGCTGTTGCCGAACCCGCCTGAATGTTTTGACAAGTTCATTATGCTGATCTAACATTTGAAGCAATAAAGTGAGCAATTCTAGCATAAGCAGACCATCACGGGAAGCAAAGTTCGCCAACTGGTTGTCAATTTCATTCTCAGGTTCGAAAATATAGAGCTGAGCAAACTTTGGTTTTTCACCATCAGGAGGCAGCAATGAACCAATTCTATGATAATTTTCTCCACATATAACCATTGAATAGGGCCCCCTTCCAAAGAGAGAGCGAGGGTCGATGGAAGCGCCAAACGATGTGAAGCACAATGAACCATTGTACGGTCTAATGTTATCCCTGAAATGCTTCGACATAGCGCCACCATCAAACCGCAGAAGTTCAGCCAACAGATGTGGAGGTTGTGCTATAAGCGGCAAACCAACACGACTTTTTTGACAACATAATCCATAGATTGGATCAGTTGTTGCTCGACGCCGATCAAGTCTTTCCATATCCCAAAACAAAGCACCACAGTATTTACAGACACATTCTGGCTGACCAATTCTGAGAATATCATTGTGTAGTGGCTTCCTAGCTGTGGGAATATACCTACTACAGGATGGAACCTCATTTGACTGTCGCCGACTTGAACGATCAGTTTTTCGACGGTTAGCCTTTGTTACTCGACCACTGTTTTCGTTACATTCAGCCTCTACATCAAGGCTCCCCTGTTCCTGATAAAAAATGGGTCGAGTTATATCTCTGGATCCTAATTGCTTCATGGTCTGATAGCACGATTTCCTTGGCCGTGATGAACCTGATATATGCACAGCAAACATAGAGTAAGCAACAATAAGCGCTCGATATGGACGGAAATTATCAACGCATAATATGTTCTTGAGTATTCTATACTTCAAACAGAAGATATATAATAATATTGAACTCATCACCTGTTGGTGACGGCGAAACTTGATGAAGATTCTGCAATGACCCCTGCATGTTGTTTTGAATCTCGGTAGCTGTATCCCCAAACATAGATGAAGAAGTCATAAGATCCTCCGATGTCTGCTTGGGAATTTCAACTCTAGTTCTCTTACGTGTCAAAGTGTGATATTGAGATTTTCTTATTCTCGGAGGCATTGCTGCACAGCGAAGACACAAAATGGGAAAAGATCAACACCATTTACTGTCGAGATGATTCATTAATCGGCTCCAGACAAATAGAAACCGATTCGGATATATTGAATGAGGAAGTGATGAAAAAGAATAACATTAACTGCACTTACATACTCAGAAGACTCATTGATAACAAATATAAATGAGAAGTAACTCTACCTCCAACAATCAGGAACGTGATGGTTGTATAGATGAGTATCCAAATTCGTTGGGCAAGCAAAAGATACAAATGAGCAAATCTTAGATTAAGAATGAGAGAGTGGAATGAGAGATGCTTATGAAGAAGTTAACATAACCCCAATGAGGATGAAAACCAATATTAAAATGTGCCATCATGGATATATGAGCAATGCATAAGTATCTATCTATATTAAAATGTGGTATTATGGGTATGTGTGACATGCATTAGTATATTACTTACTAACTCACAAAATATCTAACCTTATACTTGATTAATAAATTGAAAAAAAAGCAATCATTTTAGTTTTGTCTTTGTGTAGAAAGAGGCTGCACCATGTTAAGAACATACATACTCATCGTAGATTGCCATAAGCGTTTTTCCTTTTCGGAACACGTGAGCTCAATTAGAATGCATGAACTATATTGACGAGTTAAAAAGTACATTCCTATCTAACTACACGATAATTATACATGTTCAAACGTGCGTTTTTATGTTGGTGGTTTTCACACAATGTTGAATATACTCCGACGGTCGTGGTAACTAAATTTGTAGAGGGCAATTTCAAAATAAAACATAGGTTTATTGGGCTTTAAGAGGAAGAATCAGCGAAAGCTTAGCAGAACTGGAAAACGACAACGCTAAGAATTGGCATTCACCGAAGCTGGAAATTGAAATTGCCTATGCATCCAACGATATCAAACAGCATGGCGGCAATATTGCAATGAGCAACCACGCAAAAGTTATACAGTAAAACATAAAACAAAAGCACAAAGGGAATAAATCCTCTGATAACATCCACATAGATACAGCCTATATATATCTGAAACCAAAAGGGCCAAACCACGGTCGTTCAAACCAAGAGAACAACTTGCAAAACAAAGATCAGCATCTCCTTTTAATACAAAATAGCAACGACTACAGGGACATCATCAAACATAGAACAGTTCCTGCAACAAACAAAATAGAATATGAGAAACATCGCGCGCACAAAAACTAACTTGCAACGAAAATACTACGGATAGACCGAGGAGTAACCTTCAACCCATGATCACTTCTTAAACAAAGCACGCTTTGCCACCGAATTCTTCTGACTATCCACTGAAGAATCCCTTTCCATACTAACACCTGCCTGCGAGGGACCACCATGTGGGATTTGAGCAACATCGGCAGCATCCAATTTCTCCACCTCTTTCCTGGCGAGTGGAGAGACCAATCTTCAACCAAATAGAGTTCCTACTTGTTAGAACCGCGGAAACAACATATGTATAAGACAGTGGAGAACTGATAATGTACAATACAAAAACTTACAGCGATGCCGAAGGTGAGGCGGCGGTTGAACCTAAGGGCTTCCCAGGAGATGATTCGGGGGATGGCTTCAGAATCTTCGAAGCAGGCATAGATGAATCACGACCAACATCTTGAGGACTCATTGACTCATCAATCCTGGCTGATCGCTTGGGGACCATCGAAGTAGCAGACTGGACAGATGGAGCATTGGATTGGACTGCAGAAGACGCGGTCACAGTCGTAGTAGGCAGGATGGACCCCACCTGTACACCCATCACTGAAAGCTGAGAATCTCCGAGAATCCGCGACCCAGCATCAATATCCTCGCCTCTGACACTAGCAGGAATAGGATCCTGCAAAATCCTGGTCGCAGGGCTAGGAAATCTGCAAACCATATAATAACCAATTCAGACAACATCCCTAAACAGCATCACAAATAAACAAAATAATCTTCTTGAAAACCATGAATACCTCTCAATCAGATCTTGTTGGTCAACGATGTTAAATGGCACAGCTGGAGCTTCAATGGGGATAGATTCTGAAACCTTTTCCTTTCCCTTCGCAGCCCTTGAGAACAGATTACAAAAATAACTCACTTTAATCATGATAGATAAACCAATGCAACTCATACAGAAAACATAGCAAACAACACCAACCTCAATGAACCTGATGGCCCTCCCACGCTACTTACTGCACCCAAAGAGGGAGAAGGCGACGGACGTGGCGAAGAAAACTCAAGCAAATCACCCCTCGTAGGATCATCAAGAGGGACGACCTGGGTAACACGGAATTCACCCGAAGAGAAACCAGTAGGATCCGGCAACGGCAACCTACAATCAAACTTGACATATTGCCCTCGCAATTGATGCAACTGCGGGGGCAGCTGACCAGGACGATGGGGGAACCTTTGGGCTAGGTGTGCAGCAGAAACGTTGACCAGCGCAAGCGCGCACCCCCCCCCCCCCCCCATCAGTATAAAGCGAGCTTCACAAGAGTCGTCCCTCAGTGTAAGCAAGAGCTTGTAGCTGAAGGAATAAAGAACATCAGCAGCAAAACTTATAATAGACAACAAAGATGCAAAAAAAAAAAAAACAAATATACAATCATACTTGACCCAGGTCTGTTCCTCATCCAACTGCCAATCATTTGGGCACCAAAACGAATCATCACGACGCTTCGAAACAGCTCTTGAACATAACTTGCATGAAATATAATACCAAGGTGTGTTTGACTCGACATCAACAATCACTCAACCACAACGATAGTTTTCTTCCTACAAAAGAAAAGAAGGCACGTCACTTGAAAACACGGGAAAAACAAAAGCAGCAAACTTTTTGAGAGAAATAAGCAAAACCAGCGAGGAATTCGTCCTAGATAAGGCCAACAACTGCTCCAAAGTCTTGGTGCGACGATCAGCATCAGCTGTAGCATCAGCAGCAGTAGCAAACTCAACTGGCAAGGATGCAACAGTCTCATGTTTCTCAGCAAACCTGGTAGCGATCCAAGCACCATGAATACAACAACATAGAGCCCACGAAACGCAAAAGGGGCCACAGGCCGCAATTAGCTTACCTAGATGCAAGATAATAAGCCTTAGGTACTGGAGGGTTGACTGCTATGCGAGTAGCGGCTGAACTCGACAGGACATAATCGTCTAAAAAGAAGCACAAAAGAGAGGGAAAAACCAAAACACGCTAATGAGCCTCACATAATATCGGGAAAAGATGCATGCAATAAGGAAACCACAACATACCCCCGGCTTATTAACCAACAAGCCGCCAAATGCCAATATCATAGCTTCAATCGAGTCAGCCTGAGTGAGAGCAACATGATCCAACACCGCCGAAAACTCATCCCAGAGGGTAATCGAGACCTTCGATCCACTGAGAAAGAATATAGGGACACGTAAGAAAAGCAAAGAACAAAAACGACACATGCAACCAAACACAGAAACCCATGAAAGGCACATAATACCTTTCATCCTCAATAATAACCGTTTGCTTGACAGCCGGGCCGTTATTTGTGATCTTGTGCGATATCCCACTGATCGAATGGAGCCGGCCAACAACATCTACGAAGAAAGGCACACAGAGGCTAAATCTTAGTAAACAAACAAAAGACATATAAGCAAACCTAACCTAAGAAACCAAACCCACTAACCTGTCAAGTAACGATGATTACCGGCACAAATACCCAACTGGGAGAAAACCACAAACTCGTAAGCATCAACCGGGAAACTCTCAGCAGGAAGAGCACAGGGCAGGAAAGAAGTCGAAGGCGAAAGCCCAAAGCCAAATCAAAAGAACACGACCGATACTGATTCGGCGGATTGCTCAGGGCAAAGGACTTTATGGCGTATATCATTCCAACCGAGAGATTACGACGAATCCCAGCAGCCATTGAAGTCGGTGAAACGCCCTGAATCAGCATACTCTGCGCAAAGCATGCCATCCCGACTCGTGAACAAAACAAAAAGGCGAGAACAAACCAGAGCACAGAAGAGAAAGCGAGAAGCGTAAAAAACTAACCGTTTCGTCGGTCCATAGAGTACAGTAATTGTAGATCCTATTGTCTCCTGGAGACTTCGATGGCCACACATGCAGCAAACGGAGGCGTAAAGAAATCCCGGCATTGCGCGGACCTCCGAGGTTACATAGCAATGTGAATTCCATTTTTTGGGAGATGGAGAGAACCAAAGAGGGCGGGAACCCTTTTTTTTTTTTTGAAACAGACCAGAACAAAAGAAAAGAAGTTTCGGCGCTACAGAAGAGTATAAAAAAGAAGGATGGAGAAAGCAGTTTCAAGGGCGGTGCATGTCAGTTTTTGGTCCAATAACGGGCGGAAACGTAAGGCAGGGCAAACAACACCCTCGCAAAGAGATAAGCACGGAGCAAAATAAAAAACCGCCAGGGATAAGAAGTAGGCGCCGAAGCGTCAGGTGTCAGATACCAGGCCAAACGGAAAGAGGAACGCACTCCCCGAGGCCCAAATGCATGAGACTGAGCAGAAGGAAAAAGCGGCCATCATTTGCCGAAATTCAGAAAAGCAAGAACAAATATACACGGCAAGAGAGAAAAGCAATGAAAGACGTACAGAATGACCGGTGTAATCATTATAAGAAGGTATAATTCTCAACGGGATTGCTCGAAGGAAGTAGAAAGCGAAGGGAGAATGAACGTGCAGCTGAGGGCAACGCGGCACACACAACAACAACGGCGGGACCCAGACGCAGGGAACCAACCAATAAGCAAAGGCGGCTGGATCCAATCGCAGAGGATGCACCAATGGGATGAGAGTGAACAGTAATTTTGAGTCTAAATGAACAGGAATTTCGTGTCTAGGCGTACAGTAACCGTGTCTTTGCAAATAACTTGTTCTAACTAGCACAGTAGGCGGCCCGTTGGCCGCAATAATTTTGTCGAGAAATATGATATATAATAATATGGTGTTTTCTATGGTACCCAGGGTGAAATCCGGGGTACCACATACCTTGAGTATGAAAACGCTATCTACAACCCTTTATTCTTTTCCGTTGTTTTTTACACTGATTTTTTTTTCCGTTGTTTTTTACACTGATTTTTCCCGCTTCTGCAATCGCATGGCAGCTCATTTTATTCTAACTAGCACAGGACCCGGCCCGTTGGCCGCAATAATTTTGTCGAGAAATAGGATATATAATAATAAGGTGTTTTCTTTGGTACCCAGGGTGAAATCCGGGGTACCACATACCTTGAGTATGAAAACGCTATCTAGACCTCGAATTAGTATGATTTTTGGGCATGATACTATACCCTAACCCTTAATGAGTGAACCCTAGGTCCTAATTATCCAAATCATAAACTATAAACTCTAAGATGGTGCATTGATTTTTTTGCCTATATTTGGACGATCATAACCATCGATTATTGTTTCTAATTAAATTGATCTTGGGATATAAGGTTTAGAGAATTAAGACCTAGATTTTGATCTTTAAGGGTTAGAGTATAGTATCATGTCCGAAAGATCAGTCAATTCAAGTTTTGGATAGGGTTTTCTTACTCAAGGTATGCGGTACCCCAGATTTCACCCTGGGTACCGTAGAACTCCCCATAATAATGTATATATAATAGAGGATTTGAAATGCACAAAATAATTTTTTTTCTAATTTAGTTATGCACATAATATTTTTGAAAGTGATCCAATTAGACCTCCATGAAAAGAGAAAAATTTAATATAAGCATTACTTATAATTATTAAATGAAAAAAGAAATAAATATAACTAATTGCCATCCATTACTTAATTTAACCATATAGTTGAATATTAGAGTTGTTTCTCATAATACATACATAATCGACCTTTAAGATCTGAAGTTGCTTGATTTGAAATATATAGGACATGATGCTAAATTGTCGCTAATAGTTGGTTGGACAATGTGTTGTGTATGGATTTCCAAAATTATTCTCGGATCGCAGACATGTCTAGCAACAATGTAGTAATTTTCATGCAGCAAATATTTTTTTCATGAAATAATTCAATAAATAAAAACATATGAAAATCATATTACATGAAATATATAGTACTCATTAAGTTGATGAATGAGCGAGCGTATAAGTAACATACATTTAATTTAAAAATATAGAAGTTGCAAAGTGTCTTTTGGGTTGAATGAGATCGCATATTCTCATTATCGCTAACTGACTTATGTTTTTTTGCAATAGATAGTTCAAAATGTGCCTTAAAACTTTTATTTCCACCAGTGTAAAAGAATTGTTTGAACCAAATGATTACAATAGTATCAAAAAATTTGGGGATTTTTCCAATAATAGGACTTATTAAAAAATTACAAAAATAGCACTAGTTCAAAGAAATTACAAAAATAGCACCATTATTTGTAAACCGCACCTCCAAGGTGCGTTTTATAAATAAACCGCACCAGGAGGGTGCGTTTTACCCATAAACTGCACCTTGGAGGTGCGTTCCATGCCACGTCAGCCAGCGAACCGCACATTGGAGGTGCGGTCTGTGTTTCCTCGGGAGCAGGCTTGGAGACCGCAGGATCAGGCGGCGATCCAACGGTGGACCGCTTTCCACCTTAGCGATCCGCGCCACGGATCGTAGACTGCAGCTGGCAGGTGCAGTCAGCGCCTCGATCCTCGCCGAACGCATCGGGAGGGTGCGGTTTCTGGCAGGGCAAAATTACAAGACCGCCCCTGAAGGGTGCGGTCTGAATAGTATAAATACCCCCTCCCACCTCTCATTTCTTTACAACACAACCCATTCTTCACTCTCTCTCTAAAATTATCTCTCCGACCCCTCCCCTCCCAAAAGTCTAGGAAATTGTGGTCTATTGGTTGTGGCTAAGTCCGATATGCCATCAGAAAATATTTTTTGGTTTTTCCCTCAAAACTCGCCGAATTTCTGTCCGACTTTCGCGAAAAAATGGACGAGTGGTTCCAAGGAGAGGGGGTTTATTATGATTAATTTCAAGCGGTACATACTTATTATTCTGGTCAATTTTTGTTTTTGCTATAAGCTTTTTAATTAATCTATGTACTAACCTTGTTGTTATTCTCTCGTAGGTTGGGGACGACATGGATATATACAACCAATGCTATTATTTGGATCAAAGACCTATTGATCCAACCGACTTGTACGACCAACCCAACCATCATTCAAGGGATGTTTGGAACGATCACCAGGTGCATACAATTCTTCATCATTTGTCTTTCTTTTATTTTGCTAATGTACTTAGTGGAATATAAAATAAACTTGAAATAATTTAATCGTATTGGTTGTTTTCAATAATTTAATCGAATACAGAGCGCCACTTACTTCGACTCTTTATAAAGAGATGCACCTCTAAGAAAATGGGGTTTTAAGTGACTATCATGATCCTACCATTTTTTGGGAAAATCGGGTATTAAGAGATCCTCGGATCCCCCCTTTTTCTGTCAAAAAGGCTGCGTTTCTAAGAAGATGTATACCTCTTCCAAAGTCTAACGAGTGTTGCATTGTATTCAATTAAATTATTTAAAACAACCAATACGATTAAATTATTTACCAAACAACCAATACGATTTATGTTTAGTGTACTTAAATGAATTTTATTAATTTTAAATGTTTGAATATGTATGTATCTCTTTAAATTATTATTCATTTATAATGTTATTTATGTCAATTAATTGAG